AAAGGGATGGTTGATATTGGTCGATTCTTATTGTGGAAAATGCGTGTTCATGGATTTCCATCCTGGAAAAAATCCTCTATGGCAACGCAATCAGTCAAAAGGCACCGTGATTGCTATTGGTCTCATTTGGCTATGGGTCAAAGTCGAGTAGTGTCCAGAAAATCCATGAAAACCCAGCATACTTTTGTGGTTCGAAGTACAATGATTCTTCAGTCAAACGGAAACTTCCTGCTACTTTGTGCCCTGGAAACTTCGGGGTTGATTGATTACTGTACGGTCAGCTCAGTCATCTAAAACACCCACCGGGGTAGACCTAGTGCTGGGCCCGCTGCGCACTTAAAGCTGCGAAGAATGGGCAAAGGACCTCAAAAGAGAGAAGCTAATGGGAGTATTATTCCACAAGGTGGTGCCCCATAGTTAGCTAAGTTGGTTTATAACTCCCATAACTATGGTTTATGGCAGATATAACTATAGTTAATGGGGTTTATAAACCAACTTATAACTGGGGGGCACCATCCTGCAAATATATGGAAAAATAAAACATGTTCCAAACCACCAATCAATGGGATAGTCAAACACCAAACCTGGAGAATCTGAACACACTCCGAGCACAAAGAAATGTGGGCGAATATCATATCGTCCTGGTTGTTGCACCATGGTGCACCTAAGATACTTGAGACTTTATACAATTGCTGCTTTGGCATTCTGTATTTTAACCGGGAATCACAGGGAATCAACCCACCAGCATCTCCATCTCCGCTGAGCATCGTGCCAGGTCCACAATGAAGAAGACCCCGCCATGCTTCCTGCAGATGCATGCTATGGCTGGTGGACTTTTCTCGCTTCAAAGATTCGTTATCCTTTTCTACATTGCCAATCTTAGATACCCTGCAAAAAAAAAAAACAATTGTTAGCTGGTTACAGTGAGGATTAAACTGATTAAACTACCCATCCAAGGTTGACCTAGTTTAATGCGGTTAGACTTACGAACAACACGCAACGAGATTTCAGATGCACGGCCCCTGCAAAAGAATGTGTGTCTGGAGCTTGGAGAATGTCTGAACTCCATCTGTGGGAGACTTTTTGGCATCTGTGGCCCACTTGAATGCGTGAATGTTGGTATAAATATGGAGTGAAATCAGGAACTATGTCATATGTGTTTGTTTCATTCATTCTTGAATCCTGAATACATACCTGGTCTCGCAAACACAAGCTTCTTTGTGGTATGGATCACGAAAATACTAGTGGGTACAATATATAGTTGGCTAGTTGGCACGTGTCCTTCTATCAGAATCATCTTCCATCATTTTGCATTCCAATGTCTGTTCGTACTAGAGAATCACCCCACGTAGGAAGGGGGTTTATCCCAACTTCATAAGTATGATTGATCATTTAAATCATTATTAACTATGTAGAAGTCGTGGGATGATCCTCCAAGCTTGCCCCTTCGATAAGTTTCCCACTGTGCTTCGAAGCATCAAAACAACCAAACCTTGATTGAACGCATCATTTTCAGACAAAACCCACATATCAAATTGTTGGATAAAATCCACTATTGCCACATTATACACCCAATATACCCAATATTGTTGGTTTATATCCCCATTGATCCAAGCAAAAAAGCGTTTCCCCGCTCCTGCCGTAGGCCCAAGCACTGCGATGCGACTGGTACGCCTGCTGGCTGACGGTTATCCCATCGGTCAGCAACATCACAAGGGATATAATAGGGATAGATTACACGAAACATTATAACTGGTTGGTGGTTAACATATGGTTAATATACATTAATATGCTGGTTAATGTTAATGGTTAATGTTAATGGTTAATGTTAATGGTTAATGTTAATGGTTAATGTTAATGGTTAATGTTAATGGTTAATGTTAATGGTTAATGTTAATGGTTAATGATGGTTAAAATGGATATCTGGTTGGTGGTTGAGCCTACCCCTCTGAAAAATATGCTCGTCAGTTGGGATGATTATTCCCAATATATGGGTGGTTTTAACCATCTTGAAAAATATTAGTCAATGGGCCAATGGGAAGGATTATCCCATATCTTATGGAAAATAAAAAATGTTTGAAACCACCAACCAGTTATAAGAAATTACAAAAAAAACTGATAGAACATCGTTTGAACGGTATGAGTGGTTTGTAATTGTTGCGTAGCTCATATGCGCCATATGGGTGGTTGTATATCTCATCATATCCCTTTATCTCTTCATGATATCCCAGAATCTTTACAATATTATACAATGTTGATCCATTTTGCTGGTTATAAGCATTACAGTGCCATCCTCATATAAAAATAACCATAACATATTGGGTTGTACCACATTGTGATTGTGTTTTCTTCCACATTATTTCAGTTACATGCCCACTATATTCACATGATATGTTCATATATGTTCATGATATTTAGATCAATATAGATAACTATAGCTAGATACAGTAACTATAGATAACTATAGATGGGTGTAGATACCTATGTGGGATCCTATGGGGTTGCAAATCAATAAACAATAGCTATAGCCCATATGGTTGTTATCCACGCCATAGAATGTGATTCCCATGATTCCCAATATGATTCTATGGTGGATATTTCATGATATTTCGATATTCCCATTATTCCATACCCATATGCTCAATGTATGGTATATTTACCTACATTTGGGTGATTTTTAGGGTAAATGTTGGTAATATTCCAGCACCATGGAGCATTTGGGATAGAATAGAATGTGTATATTCCATAGAATGTTGTTCTTTACCAGATGATTCCCATGTGTGGGTTTCCAAAGTCATGGGGGGACCCCAAGCTCGCTGGATGGTTTATTTCATGGAAAATACCATCAAAATTTCCTATTAATGGGTAATTCCACTATTCCTATGGAAGGATTATCCCATATATATATACTATGTTGAAACCACCAATTGGGGTACCCCATGATTGGTAATCACTCCCTATCAAATTCCAGATCAAAATTGATGATAACTTGGGGTACCCCATGACTTCGGAAACCTCCATATCCCCATGGCCTCCCTTCGCTTGGCCATGACATCCCGCAGCTCCGGAGTCGACTCGCGATGAGTCGCTGGGCGGGTGGTGAAGAGGTCGCGGTCGCCTAACGAGGCGGTGGTTGACCTATGGAAAAAGTGGGATCTACTGGGGGTTCACATGGTTTAACCACGGAAAACATATTAGAAAATGGTGCTTTTAATGAGGTTTAACATGGTTTCACTGTAAAAACATGTGATTTCATGGAGATTTTACCAACGTTGTGTCTTAATTTAGAATTATGATGGCAGTAGCGTGGGATTATGCTGAGATTATAGTGAGATGTCAGTGAATTCAAGAAACATTTCACCGTGAGTTTACCAACCCAACATGGTGGCACGGTGTATGGTTTAAAACTATTGTACCACCAAGTTTACGGTCTTAATGGGATTGTACAGTAATTGGATTCATCCAACGTATTTCATATGGATTGCCGCTAGCAATTACGCACCATAAAATGAGGTAGTTTCACATGTTTTCAATTGGAGCATGGCCACTGCGTGGCTAGAGTGCAACAAGAAACAACATGCAGTTGCTCACAAGAAATCGATGGAATCAACCACTGGAATTTGATCCAAGATCAGTCCAAATATGTAATCTGCGACCTTTTTTATGTGCCAAATATGTGCAGCAAATTGCCATGGTATCCGTTGTAAAGCAAAGATGTAACTCCATGGTATCCGAAGCACTGATAGATTTTGATGGGTTTTGAGCGACAAACGACCTGACTCTCAAGTTGACACGGAAAAGCGCCTGTTGCCATAGCGCTCAAACCGGGGCGGCTCGAAATGGCTGTCCGGCTACATGCATATCTCTATGATTCATCATTATTCCTCCATCTATTTAGATATCTATGTTGTTTAATTGTTTTTTGGGATGTTCTTGAAGATGTCAGTCAAAAAGTCTTGCTTTCTCCAGAGCTTCGGGTCATTCTCACTGAAGATAGGAGCTGATCTCGTGGTGCTAATGACTCATTGGAGCCTGTGGGGAAATCAAGGAGATGAACACAAGATGGACAATATGTATCAATATGTCACAAGAGCATACAGAATCCTGCTTGCCAAGGTTTAACCACTGTGAAGGAAACAAAAGGTGGATGTTTTCCAGTTTTCAGAAACTGCAAAAACGCACTCTCAAGTATTTTCAATCGGATCCATATTAGCGGCTAAACTTTTCAGCTTAACATGGTTCTGCCAGTAGTCATGAATTTCTATATATGTATATATATGTATATACTATATACACACATATGTATATTACATATATATATTATGTATCATCTGTACATCACATTGGCTCGAAGCCTCATTGGCTGCAGGACAAACCAGTCAACTGGTGACCTATACTTGGAACCAGGGCAGTTGATTTGGATGTCTACTGGAAGAATCCCAAAGCGAAGGATTCCACAATGTCACAATAATATATCATGCCAAATAGCTACAATGTGGTGCCCCCTAGTTATAAATTGGTTTATAAACCCCATTAACTATAGTTATATTTGCCATAAACCATAGTTATGGGAGTTATAAACCAACTTAACTATCTAGGGGGCACCACTTTGTACAATCATGCATTCTTCGCAGAGTTTGGATTCGGACAATGGCGACGAGACAGAGCTTCGTAACGGAAAGAACCTAACAGAACAATTGCCGGGGTTGTCATTTTCCAGATCTTCCAAAGAACAGCAGAATACCTGGTTCATCACTTCCGTACATTTTTTGCATCACTAATTTGTGTTCTTCTTAGTCTTCTTTGTTTCTTGAACTCCAAGGTTGCCTATCCCAGCACATCCTACATTGGTTGATCAAATCACCTTTTATCTACGCTGGTGCATAGTTCACCCCCGAAAGATGCTACAAAGTGTTTCCAGGATGGTAATTGCCTGCTGTTGCTGTAATTCCTCATGTTGCTTCAAACCCAACATCATTTGGGTCACCGCCGATCTACGCCTGGAGCTTTTCTTCGAGGAGGGTCAAAAGACAACCGCGCTCTTCCTGTGCTGGTTCCCCATACCCATGCCATCGGCCATCCGTCAATGATAATACATTTCGGTCATCAAACATGGCTGGAAAATCCATGAAGTTTTCATGGGAAAATCCACCTATTTCTGTGGATTTTCACAAAAATCGCATGATCCAAAAAAAAAAAGAGGCTGCCAAAGTCAATAGATCCAGTCCCTATTGAAAATAGTGATTTCTATAGTGGATTTTCCCATTAATAGCATGGTGATTTTACCATGGACCATGATGGATGTCCCACCAAACAGCCCTTGGGATCCTTGATCGCCTCTTGGGGTTCGAGATCTGACAAGAAATAACTGACTTGTACATGGGATATACATGGGATATATCTGGGTAAATTACAATATTTCACCAACCTGAATTGAGGCCATTTTGGGATGATTCCCCTTACTCTAACTATGATTTCCAGTGAGGTCGCAGTGAGGTCGTTATAATTTACCCAGATATATAGCCAAGGTGACACTGTGAAAAAGAAAGGATTACCATCACCTCACCTCACTTGTTGCAGGTGTCAACACTGGCTGTTTGCTTTCACGAAAATCGCATGATACCAAGTGCTAACTAGCACAGTATGCCTAATGTGACAAAATATATAACCAAGAAATACACGGGAGTTGGTTTGCTTCACTCAAATTTATGGTAGATACATCTATAGTCAAACGGGTTTATAACATCAACCAACACACATATCTAAGTACCTTAAATGAGAGCTAGAAACCATGGGTAGATAGACCATGTCAACTTTCTGTAGAGGGTTCTTACTAACCATTTATCAAAGAGATATATATATATATATATATCGCACTCCTATATCTAGTTCACATAAACCAACTTAGCGAACTTGGTCCAAATCACCATTTCTGTTGCTTAGACTCAGTGGCTTGGTTTAAGGGAACATTTACTTCGGAAACCTCTTTTTTTTTCACTGATACCTGGAAAATCAGTCCCCATGAATCGCAAGTGGTTCATAGGATGATCCTCCAAGTTTTACCGCTCCGATCCTACCTGGAATCCTGGAATGATAACGATATACGTTATACGTTATAGTTATAGTCCACTTATAAATATCGTTCTCATTCCATGTGATTTAATGAGCTTAGTTGTAACATGGTAACATAGCACATCATACTATAAACATATATATATAGGGCTTACATCCATAACTATGGTAAATTTACCATAGTTACAAACCATATGTTTTTTTGGTCATCATGTCGCCCCCATGGATGGCGGAGCCGTTTTTCGTGTCCGGCTCCAAGAACATCATGGGCTCGTAGTCTTCCCTGGGGGCCACCTTGACCTTCGCGCAACGCTTCACCGGGATGGATGTCTTGGAAAATACTATGGGGAAAAAAAGGGGGGAATGCATGGCCGAACAAGATAAGAAACATGAAATTATATTGATTTTTATCCAGACTTTGACAAAACCCATTTTCAATCAAAGCCAGATGATTGGTATATATATATATATGTTTCATGATGAGAAGTGATATTAACAGAAGTCCCCACATTGCAAACATGCTTGAATACCCTTCGAGTGACAAAGGTTTAGAGTCAGTACACCATCCAAGGCTCACAACCTCCGAAAAATATCGGAAAAGGTTTTTAACTTACCGCTCAATTTGGGATTTTCGGATTGGACTTCATAGTTTTCTGGCCTTTTGGGGTTGCCAATTTTCTTCCACAATGGCCAGGGCTTTCAATGCCAAGTGCCGGGCGTCTCCGTCCAAGATACTTCCTTAGGCGGGGACAGCAGTCGTCTGGTGCTTGAGCCACCTCTTTTTATGCCGCTCATTGGGGGATCATCACAATCATATGAGCCATGGTCAATACTCACTATATGGTTGATGGTCATCCCATCCATAATAAGGATCCTTATAATGGTTATTATAAATCCCTATGAACCATTGGATGACTAGCCCCTATTAGTGGTTATTAACCATGAGTATTGACCATAGCTCATATGGTCATAAAAAAAAAAAACATAAATGAAACCACCAAGCCAACATTGAGGATCACGAGCTTCGAGCTGTAAGAAGTATTTTTATACCAGCTAAAATGGTTTATGATGTGAAACAAGAAATAAAAACTGATGGATTCGCAGGCCTTCTGAATCTCTCACAAGGCCCTATAATCCATATGGCCTTTGTATATGCCTTTGATTGCTTCCAATCTGCAGTCTGACTCGCTGCGATTTTGACATGTTTGTCTTAATGCATGGTCTGTAGCCCGTCAAATAAACTATGATGGTTCCTTCCAGCAAGAAAACCATTCTGAAGGTCGTGAGTTGCACAGTTTGTTTATATAATATACCAAAGCTATGTATCCGGACAAAAAATAATATGATTTTGGTGTTTGACGATTTCGGCTTTTGAGCTTAGTATCCTGAGAAGCGAAAAATCCACAGAATTTAAGCATTCTTGATGTGGCAAACCAAATAATGGATGATCGTACCTGATTTTACCGTTTGGATCGTTTGGGATCATTTAGGTGGTTCTTCATCCTCAAAAAAACAGGAGGCTACTATTGGGTGCACCACACTTGGGGGTTGGGGTTGGGACCCTCAAAAATGCAGCTAAAGTTGGTAACCCTCCAAATCAACAGACACATGCACACTTGGAGCCACAACAACAAATACTTGGGGATGGGTCAAAACCCTGGTACCTACTGAACCCCAAAATAGCTGGTAAATGGATGTTCATCCCACTAACAAATTGTATCTATAGGTATTGACCCATACCCACTTCATGATAAACTCAACTGGAAAACATGGACAAACACGAGAGACAAGAGGATGTCTCCACCGAACCATTGCTGAGGTGCTCAAATCAAAGGTCCGAATGGGGTTGTCGAAAAATATCTGGAACCGATCTCAAAGAGCCTTGCCATGTCCTTGCTTTTCCATCCTCCAATATTGTCCTGAAAGTAGGCATGATTTGCGAAAATCTCATATTATAGTTAATGTTGATTAAATCAATACTGTCTCAGATTTTGTCCGGTTTAACGATTTTTTGAATGGGCGAACATTCTATATATCAATGATGATCATGGAGCACTCATGGGCACGGGAGCCCCTTGGCGACACCGGCCATTTGCTGAAAAAGATTCGTAACGCATTGAGCTCTTTGGCGTAGAGCTTATCTATCCTGGCAGGTCATCCCCCCATTCCCCCATGGGCCCCCTGGTGGGCCAACGTGATTTTCAGGAGGGGTTGCAGCAACTTGGAGAGTTAACGAAGTCAACATCTGAAACATGTCTTATATCATTTGTCAGAAACATAAAATCAGCAACCTGTTCAAATGATTTCCTCAATTGATCGCTATTCATGAGCTGGTCCAAAGATATCACATATGGGGCACCCCCAAAGAATGAGTATCAACTATATATATATATATACATATCACATTGAAGGTTTTTGGTAGTAAAACTATGTTCGGACATACATTTCTGGATTCCAAACCTGGTCTGTCGCGCCTTCAAAGTGACTGTTTTCCCTTGCCATAGTTGTGATCATCTACAGTGTTCCGTCGGCCATGAAGTTGCTATATGATCTATATGTAGTTGTCATATTAATGGTATTACATGTTGTTAGGTATATCCCGGCACTCAAACATGGCAAGATATGGAAATAAATTCCCCCCGCACAAATGGCATCTAAATATGGGAACGTCATACCTATACTTGAGGTATTTTCCATTGCCATGATTGATTACTGAAGGGTAAATTATCAAGGGAACATGTCAAATAGACATCGCAATGTTCTTTGTATCCATGTGCTGTATTACTGATATTATTGAGTCAACCAGCTTAAAATCCGGACCCTGAAGTCACTGAAGTCATCCCTCAAAACTGGAATTCGACCATCTCAGCCATGTTTCCCTAGACCCTTCCACGACTCGGGGCTTGGATCCGACAATTCTTTCCCTCGGGGCTTGGATCCGACAATTCTTTCCCTCACTGGTTAAACTGGTGATAGTTGATGGTTGCAAAGGCTTATGGTACACACAAAAAATATTGGAGACTAATGAAACTGCAATCATGGTTAATGTTGAAACTGGTGAACTTAAGAATGTTAAACTGAAAATCATCAGAAACCAGTGAGGATACAATCAATGGATTGGTTTGTTGGTTAAAATCTACACCGGAAACCCATGGTTTTTACCATCAAATTGATCGGGCTTTCCGGTTAAAATTTTCCCATCATCCAATTCTATGATACAACTCACAATATTCCCATGAATTTATAGTGAATTTTCCCATGAAAAATGGTGATTTTCCATAGTTATGTTAAATTACCAATATTTTTGAACCTTCCAAAGTGCCAGATAATCTGCTGCTTCTCACGGTCGTCACCCTGAAAGCAGCGCCTGACCAAGCGCTCATTGGCTCGTTTCGTCCTGGCCATGTGGCCCAATCACCAATCGTCATATAACCAGTATATGACCAGTATACGTATGAGAATATGATGGAATATGTACCCTCTGGTTATGTCAACAGTTTGCTATTGAAAATGGCCATAGAAATAGTGGATTTTCCCATAAACAATGGTGATTTTCCATAGTTATGTAAATATTTACCAGAGCGTATATATATATATATATATGGAATATCATGGATTATAAAATATATAAAATAGAATGTATATCTGGTTGGTGGTGACTTAACCATCTTGAATATGATTCTAATGCTACCCTCTGGTAAACATACAAAAAAATATGGAAAGATCGACCATGTTATAGCTGGGAAAATCCACAATTTTTATGGTCATGTTCAATAGCTATGGTTTAATCTTTGGTTGGTGGTGCAATAACCATCTTGAAAAATATGAGTTCGTCAATGGCAAGGATGACATCCCATATATGAAATGGAACATAAAAATTATGTTTGAAACCACCAACCAGATCTAGTCATATGTAGACATCAGACATCTTTCGTGTTGCTGGATAATATGTGTCTTTGTCCATGGGACCTTGGCATCAGTATATGGTTGCGCCTTAAATTTGTGGATCTGAGCCGCAGCGCAGGAGTTTCAGCGTTTCAGCAGCTTCAACCAACGATTCTGGGCGACCCCAACTCTGATTGGATGAAGCGTAGCTCAGCCAAATCTGTACCAACCAGACCTGCTTTTTTAGGGGGTTAGTTGATGTCAGCTGCGGGGCGGGAGACTTAAAGGTTCACAAACAATTAGACTATGTGTGATAGATCATGATTGTGTAATTTATGTCTATATATATATATATATATATAGATAGATAGTATATATAATATACTACATACACATGGTATATATATAATATATATATATGTAAAAAGTGTATGGATAACCGAGACTTGGAAACCGGATGGCAATGGATCCATGAAAATTGCACCCCTAAAATTGTTTGAAACAATGATAGGCAACATGTACGGGATCAAAGAAGCTGGCTTTAGTCAATGGGAGATCTTCAGGATCCTAAAATAGAGGTACGTTAGTCGTTAGTACCATTTTTCAGGCCATACTTTGTAGGGATGTTTCGAATTAGGACCAGGATGAATTGGGTGTGTGTGGAGATAGCAAATAAAACAAATGCTTGTTTTCAGCCTGTAAAGCGACCGGAAAACCAAGCCAGGAGATGGGGAATGTGAGACAATGACCAAATTCTGTAATTGTGAAATTCAAATCCATTCAATCCAGGAATCCATGACACCTGCCGTCTAGTGAGTCTACAGAGTCTACAGGCTTTGTCGAGGAAAATCCGAAAAGCGCGGCATGATCAACCATGTTCATCCTGGTCAGTTACTGGATGTTACTGGTAAATGATTGGTGGGCCAACCCTCCTCGTTTTTAGACCAGGGATTTACCAATCCATGGCTGACCAAAATTGGAAAAATACGCGCGATCTCCACTCTGAATAGCCAGGAATATCAGAAAACAAAACCAGCTTTGCCTCTAAACAAACCACCATGAGCTCTCACAACATTAGCAATGTTCATTCCTTAAAGTACTTGTTTGAGTACACCAATTACACTATTGAAACAAAAACACATGTTACAATGAATCAAACATACCTTGAACCTTCCTGACCCTTTTTTTGCAAATGTTGGCCGCGTTGGCTGAAAGCTTTTTTCAGCACCTGTGCAGTGGTCAAATCCCCATAGCCCAGTGTTTCGTCAAGAACTGGTAGCCCAACCCCTGGCCACTGGCCGCTGGCCCAATCCTCGTTTCAACTCTGGTTTTTTTTGAATGGTTTAGACACTCAAAAATGGTGACTGGCCCATGCCAAAGCCTCCCGATCGACCATCCCAGAGCTTTCCCGCGCCTTGCGCGTGTTGTTCGAGCAAACGACGACTCCTAAGTCAGATAGGTGCTGTTTACTGCGGGTAGCCTGGGAATCTTGTGAAAATGCTGGAAAACCAGAGGGTACCCACGCACCCACAATGAAAATCATGAAAACACTTTACATACAATTCCCAATCCTGAATTATATATATATATATACATAATTATATATATAATTATATATAATTATATATATATATATATAATTATATATATATATATTCTCCCTCAGGCATTAGGAATGTTGCCATGTTTGCGTACCAACAACTCCATACCCCCAACCTGAAGTATTGACATCATTTTTTCAGGATTACATCCCTGACTAAGCACTAACATCTATGGTGAAGAAAGTCGATGTCACTGATGAATCATTGATCTTTAGTGGATCATGGCATATGGATGCAGTGGATCATGGTCTCACTAGCCAACTTCAGCAAAAATGGGTGAGCTGAGACCCTTGGCTGTGTCCAGTTCCCCAGAAGTTTCACCCAAACGTTTTTCGTCGAATGTGGACAACCACGTGGAAAATCACCCAAATGACAGCCGTATCATTTGTCAAAATCCCCAATATACAGTCTAGTATAGCCACCCTACACCCATCAACCAGCCAACATTTATCATCATATATCAATTTATATGTGGATGGTTGCGAAATCCTGCACCAGCTGCTAACTATTGTGATTCCTATGAAACACTGTATATTACTAGGATTATAGATCGGATTTTGCCCATCCACCAACTGGTGATTTGGATTTCGCAACTGGTGATTTGGATTTCGCAACCATCCACAGTTTATATGTGGGTTTCCTAACATGGTGCCCTTAAGTCCTCCATTTTAAAAGGATTTTCCACTGTAAACCCGCCATTTTGGGGATCCCCCATGGAAGCCCAGGTTGAGAACGCAACATCTCAAGCTCCGAGAGGATACTCTCCTAGCTCTCTTCCCCATTGGGAAGGGCTTAGGTATTTTTCATGTATATAGGTGGTGCCCCCAGTGAGGTCAATCGCTAAGAGGGATGGATGGGTTATTTTTGGTTATACGACAAGGTGGTGCTCCCCCAGTTATCAGTGGGTTTACAACCCCCATGAAGTAGTTCCATATATTTACGATAAGCCATTCTAAACCCAAGCGAAATTGGAGTTATGCTCCTATTTGGCATGATGTAAAATAATATCCACATGGTTAGCGAATGAGATATCTAGTTTATTCTTGGGTTTGCCACGTCATACACTGGTAGGTGTCATGCAAAAGCAAAGTGCCATTGAGTATTTGCGAAATATACCTAGAGAATTGTTTGATTTTCGGTGCAATATGCAATAAACATGTTCTATTATGTTCTATTCATGCTTGTTTTTGGACTGGCAAATTGTAGGTACCAGCACTTGCACTGGAAATGCCAGAAACAGTAAGTGCATGCAAAAAATAAAAAATAATTGTCTGGGACTCTATACTGTACCCTCTGGTAAACTAACATAACTATGGAAAATCACCATTTCTAATGGGTAAATCCACTATAAATGGACATTTTCAATAGCTACATTAGATTACCAGAGAGTACCGTATTCCAGGATCATATTCCCTCATATTCGGATCCAACGAGATCCAGCGACGAACATCCAAAGCATTGTTGTCGATGATTCTCCCGTTAAAGACTTCCATTTTGTTCTATGATTGTCCTTTTTCACCCCTCCCATATATATTATTATATATGTATATATTATTATATATGTATATATTATTGTATATGATGTATATATTATTATATATGTATATATTATTATATATTATATACATGTTTTTTCCCCACAAACATATCATAAAATCTCCATGCTTATTCAGACATTTCCCAGCTACTCTATCAATGGATTGGTTTAAGAGTTTAAGGGCAAATCTAGACCGGAAACCATCGATTTTCCCATGAAGATCATGGGGCTTTCCGGTTTCAATGTTCCCTTAAACCAATGAATTGATTGGAGGATTATCCCACTTAAGTGGATAATAACCCTGGTTAGTAAGTCCTAATCAATGGATTGTCCCATCTATAAGTCGGTTTTCATCAATCCTCTAGCTCCATTGACTCTCCATATAAATGATTTTCCCATAAACAAATCATAAATGCCCGTGCAACAAATCAGGCATCTTCCCAGCTGTTCTAGACATGGCATCTTTGGTACTTAGTACTTAGCTAAGTTGGTTTGTAACTCCAATAACTATGGTTTATGGTAGATATATGGAACTATATATATATATGATATATGGTTTATGTAGATATACACATATATATATATATATGTATATATTTATGATAGACATATATCTATACTATTCCTATGGTTTATAAACCAACGGTTCCATCACTGGGGGGCACCACTTTATGATGAAAACAACAACCACGGAGCCCACCCGACCACGCGTCTTTCATCTTTGTTTGCTCGATCGTGTCCAACGTCTTCACCTGCGAAAAACTCGGCCCATCAGTACGCCTTGAAGCAGTGGGTTTATAACTCCCATTGAGTACATATGTATGTGTATATATATATGTACATATCTATCTAATCTAATCTAATCTAATCTAATCTATCTGTCTGTATATATATATATATACATACTGTATGTATATATACATACTATCTACATCTATATAAACCCAAGTTATTGGAATTTAGCTAATGAACTGGGGCACCACCTTGTGGATTTGCTTGCTTGGAGGATCATCCCACAAACTCGAAACTGCTTATAGTAACTGGGATTGTAACCGGGAGAACCCGCGAATCTGGGATGATCCCCCAAGGAAGGGGGAAAAAAAACAGATTGGAACCATGGATCCCATATGCGAACCATGGTGCGGGTGCAGTTACCAACATGACTGGGTGATTTTTTTGGGGTAAATATTGTTCATTCCATGGAACATGTGGGTATAGTATGAGCATTGTCCCTACTCAGAATGCCAGAAGATTGTTGATGCTGATTACAAACACAGTGCAGGGGCTAAAACATGCCAAACATCTCCGTGCCCAAGGGCTCGGACGTTTTATCATGGAAGCCTTCAGTCAACTGATCCTCCGCGACCATTTTCACTGACGATGTGCCAAAAAAAATGGTAGATCTCTGGCAGATCCGAACCCTGCCTGACCCCCCCATCTTCTGATTTATGTGAACCTTAATCACCAACAAACGCTTTAATAAGAGCAAATCTTAACCATCATTCTTGGGGAGGGTCACCGAAATACGGGGTGGGTTTAATCCCGATGACATGTACAGTTTACGATCACCGGCCTACCCTGACAATGCGTCTTCACCTTGTTTTAGCCCAAAACAGATTGATTCAAACACTCATAGATGCCACTACATGATTTGGTAGTTTCACCAAATCATGTATATATATATAATTACATATTTATATGTATGTGTATATATATATATAATAAATACATATATATATATATATATGTGAATATATAAATATATGTATAATTGTAAATATATAAAGATATGTATAATTGTAAATATATACCTGCGCCTTCCTAAGTGCCAAAATTTCCGCCCCTATCTAAAAAGACTGAAATTTATGTTTTGTTTCCGGAAGTAAAGTGTCCTTGTACATGATTTTTTTCAGGTAGGTCATGCCTCGGACATGATAGCTGTGATAGGCCCTTGCCTGAATGTTGCAAGCATAAGTTTGAGAGGAAGCAAGGTACTGAAACAGGTTGCGCTGGCTCACAAACGTGAGGTTGGTCAATCCACAAAATCAAACACTCGCATGACTCGCATCGAGAAAAATCATTTTTGTTCAATCAAACATGTTTCTGTGATCAATACTATTTTGGCATCTATACTTCTGTTCAACATCAACGGTGACCTCTGGGTGAAACCGGTTAAACCGGGCGCTACCAACGGGCTCAAACTTGACAATTTGGATGGGTTGGGTAAAGCACGCCTTGATTCATTGTCAAAAGGCACGATATCAGAACATTTGGGACGATGAATCGCGAACACGTGCGGTCGGGAAAAGCACCGTTTGGCTTCAAAAAAAAACGCCCTTTGGCTGCGAAAAAAACGCCGCTGCAAAAGCGTGTTTCTTTAGATGGCATCACACTGTTCACACTCCTTCAGGAGCAGCCCTGATGATCATTGAATAGAGTCGTGACTGTCTCGCATCCATTGACAGAATAAACACAGAGTCGAGTCAAATAAACAGTTGGACGAACCAGTTCATCCTAAAAAAACACCAGGAAAAACTAGATAAACATAGATCAACTATGTATATAGCCCTTTCACAAGACATCTCGCATTTTTTCGGAAACTTGGGTCTTGCCAGGACGTCCTTGTGAGATCTCACCACTTCTGCATGGTGTATAGTTAAAGCAGTTTCCGCTGAAAAAACAGAAATTTTGGCACTTAGGAAGATGCAGGTTATATATATATAGTATAAGTATGTATAAGTCATATCAAGTCAGGCCTGTGTCATCCAGTAGGGTAAATTCAACAAGCAGGCAGCCCTGGTAAATACAAAGCAAAAACTTGCATCAACCCTGGGTCTTCATCCCCACGGAAGGATCCAGTCCACGCAGGATGCTAGCAGGAACCCTGTCCACCCTGGTGCAGATGTCAGCCTCTGGAAAGATCTCCTTCATCACGTTCCAGATTCTGCCTGAAGTTCTGGTTGGCATTTCCCCGCCCTGAAGAAATATGCAAAAGTCATCAGATGTCATCAGATGTCAACATGCAAAAGAACATACAAAATTGATTGAAACGACCAAACCAATTGAAGGATCATCGTTTCTTATATATTTTGTATAATTTTGTGAGGTTGGTAAAATGCTTTGCAATTGGGATTATGACCCTTGGCCAATCTCCAAAGCCTCCATTAATGCAGAATGCCATAGATTCACCGGGTTCGGGCCCAGAGCTGGTGCACCTTTACCTGGTTCATACAAGGTGGTGCCCCATAGTTAGTTAAGTTGGTTTATAACTCCAACTTCACTATGGTTTATGGTATTTATAACTATAGTTACTGGGAGTTATAAACCAACTTAGCTAACTATGGGGCACCACCTTGTATGATTATTTCTTTGGTCCAAATGTTGCGACAAATAACTCCAGCTTCCAAATATATGCAGGAAAAAAGGGGCAGGGCCAATGTTTTTACGGAAGCATGAGCTTGTCAGACCATGAGCATGCAATCTAAGAATCTAAAGGTTCATTGGACCATATTGGACCCATGAACTGAATATTCAGCAAATCATCATTGCAAAGCCGAATCATTGGATATCCCCATGAAAAATGCTTGAATATATGACATATATCTGGTTGGTGGTATACCTACCCCTGTGAACAAAAATGAGTTCGTCACTTGGGATGATTACATTCCCATATATATGGAAAAAATATAAAAAAAAAGTTTCAAACCATCAACCAGTTACAAATATGTACAATATGCAATGATACATTGAAATGTCATGTAGCCAGGTACTGTAGTAAATCTCTGTGTTTTTGGGGTAAGAACCTTGAATATATAACATATACATATATATTTATATATATATATAACATATATATATATATATATATCTTGGTGGTAGCTCCCCATGTTCCTTGCTGATTTCCAAACAAAACCAACATATGAGTCGGGTGAAAGCCCGCCTGCACAGGCTGCGTGTTCATTCCCCACTTCCTGGAGAGCCTCGGACAGTGAGGTTGGTGACCCCAAGCTACAATCTAGTCCTTATAGTTATATATATATATGGGTAAATTATAACGACCTCACTGCGACCGAACCCTGGAAATCATAGTAAGGGGAATCATCCCAAAATGGCCGAACTATTCAGGTTAGTGACATATTATTTCATTTACCCAGATATATCATATATGTCATATTCTACGATATATGTAATATATATACAAGGTGGTGCCCCATAGTTGGCTAAGTTGGTTTATAACTCCCATAACTATGGTTTATGGCAGATATAACTATAGTTAATGGGGTTTATAACCCAACTTATAACTGGGGGGCACCATCCTGTATATATATATATATCAGTATATGATGTTTATGTTTATAATGTTGCACAGGAAATGCAGTGGATCCCATAAAACATATTAAAACATTCGAATGGACCACTGGCCCAAGGCCTGAAAACCCACGACCCGGCGTTGCCTGCCGGTGAAATCCCTGATTTTCGTGCATTGGTTTTATAAATATGTTTGAAACCTGATGTTAGAATTCATCTCTGAAAAAATAATTCATATCTATTTCTAAGCTTCGTCATGGGTCTGACTGAAAGGGTACCTCAAGTTTGATTTGTCAACAATCAATCATCCTATTCTCCCATTAGAAGGTAAGAATTGCCCATCATTCAGGCTACCATCTGGTTATGACTAACAGTTCGCCATGGAAAATCACCATTTTTAAAAACGGTAAACCATCTATAAATGGGTCATCTATTTCTATGGGCCATCTATACCATGGTGAACTGCTAGTCATAACCAGAGGCTACGATTTTTTTTTTGGTATCCCGCAGTTCGAGTGGATTATCATCAACAAACGCGCCATGTGTTGTGTTTTTTAATGCTATGGTTGATGGTTCATAATCCAAAAAATGATATTCAATTGTCATTTAGAATGATTTAGAAATTTAGTTATGATGAATTTTGAGTTTATACCATGTTCCCCTTTGTAATGATATCAAATCAGTTGGACGGTAACTCAACTCCCATGTAATGACATTTAGTCAAAAGTCCCATCTCGAGTGAATGTCATTCAATGTGCCATATTACCCCTCTGGTAAACTAACGTAGCTATGGACAATCACCATGTTCAATGAGTAATTCCACTGTAAATGTCAATTTTCAATAGCTATGTTAAATTGCCAGTACCATTTCCCCACTCAACTTCCATTGAATGAGCCATTCAGGATATTCTATAATAGTAAGTCTTTATGTCTCCTAAAGAAAGGTGTCTAGTTACTGTTAAAAGCAACCCCTAAGCTATTTAAATCTATGTTATCTGATATTTAATGTACCATTCAGTTGTTCATGTGCCATTACTTAATATGACATTTAATGTGCCATTCTAGATATATCTATATATTTAATATGATATATATATATATATACAATAATGAACATGTGCCATTGAGTTGTTTAATATTTAATGACATTTATGTGACATTTTGATATGGATATTTAATGCGAACAACTAATATCTAACATAATTATTCTGTCTAACATTCTAACATATCATCATCACAATCACATATTAGTAGTCAAATATAATAATATAGATATAGTTATTCTAATACCCATAGGATCCATGTTAGCATATATACCCCCAATGTTAGCATACCCCCAATGTTAGCATATATACCAGGACCATGGATCCGTCATGGTTCGAATAATTGTTAGACCTAAATTATTCACAGATCTAATATAATATTTACCCTCTGGTAATTTAACATAACTATGGCAAATCACCATTTTTAATGGGAAAATCCACTATAAATGCCAATTTTCAATGGCTATGTTAGTCATAATCAGAGGGTAATCTGTCTAACATGTTCACGTGCCATTGTAAAAGACACAGTTTTGCTGAGCAACTGCAAGGCGATTCACCCACTCCCCCGCCGTGCTGGCGGAGACCTGTGGCACGGCACGGTGCCAAAAGGTTTCCCGTTTTTAAACGTTAAACGATGGTTGAAACATGTTGAAACTGTACAACTTCAAGAGAAATGCTGGTTTTCTGCAATTCGGATGTGATGTTTCTTTGATGAAATGGTGTTTTTTCAGGGGATTCAAAAGTAATTTCATGTTATATAATGTGTTGATGAGATTTAAGGGCAACAACAGGTAAGTGATGATTCAACCTATCCAAGTTATGTGGATTTGGGTTTATGGCAACACATCGAACAACCTGTGATGGGGTTGTTCGAAGCCAACATGCATAACATATAACGGGCACCACATGGTATGTTTGCTAGCTCATATTCATCCTTCTTCTTTTGGAATACTACAGATAGATCTACCATAAACACACAAACGTTGGCTCAGTCATCAACACCTATCTAATTGGGGGTCCTCACAGTAGTTGGGCTGCTGACTGGTGACGCTGCTATTGATCAACCAGTGGGAACCAATGGGAGAGTGGGGCATCCCAGGGAGGTATACAAAAAAACTCAAAACCCCCATGACTGGTTGGTGGTTGAGCCTACCCCTCTGAAAAATATGAGTTTGTCAGTTGGGATCATTATTCCCCCAAACCACCAACCAGATGATTTAAGGATTATGAACTGACTCATCCTCACTTTGATATGATTGATGTTTGTTTCATCTTGTTTCTGGATGATCTAAGTCATTCGACCCAGAAGTGAAGGAATTTCACAGGAATGGGATTCAGTGAAGAGTAAACCATCTTATGACAAAGGAGTTCTTGTTCAATCTATAGAGACTTGGGGCAACGTAGGGCAATGTCTGATAGGCTGGAACAATCTTTTTTACCGCATTTTCTTGTGCTTCCCCAAGTCAGGTTTCATGTCACCCAACAAAAAAAACAACTCGCTGGATCCATTGGGTCCATTGGGTCCATGTGGATGTGCCAAATGGGATTATGAAATTCCCAATATATGGAAAAAAAATCATGTTCCAAACCACCAAACAGCATGTTTCTTCGATCTTCCGGCCTACTTCCAGTCCCCCTAGTTTTTCTTCCAATCATGAATTGCATAGTTCCATGGTATCATACTGTGGATGGAAGAAATCGTGCACCTGTTGGTGACTATTGGAAACCATGAAAATGAAGGGGTCTTACTGGGATGTTACCATCTACTCACTGGTGCAGGATTTCGCAACCATCCACAGTATGGTTCATGGGCGCGGCTACACCGCTTCCTAAGACCTGCAGATCACTGTGAATTCCCAAGTTATGCCGGAACAAATCTCTACAGGATGGTGCCCCCCAGTTCTAAGTTGGTTTATCAACCCCCATAGAATACTATAGTTATCTCTACCATAAACCCAATCGAATAGCGACAAAAAATGGTGATTTTCCATAGCTATGTTGAATTACCAGAGGCTATATTCTACTATGAATACTACTGTGGATGGAAGAAATCCTGCACCCGTTGATAGGTGGTAAACATCCCATTATTTTGTTTGGGTTTCAACCATCCTTTTGGTGATGCAGGATTTAGCAACCATCCACAGTAGTTCGTTATATCTACCATAAACCCCCCAGGTCAGGCCTGCACATCGGCTTCCGTGGTCTTGTTGGACACTGCCCCCTCGGAAAAATGAGATTTTTTTTTGTGCCGAAGAGGACTCTATATGATATATTTATATATATATATATATATATATAGATATGATATGATATATATATATATATACACACGGATATAAACTATTTACATATATATATATATATTTATACGGATATATATATATATATATATTTATATTTAATATATATATATAATAGATATGATATGATATATATATATATATCTATCTATCTATACTGGTTGGTGGTTTTAGCCATCTTGAAAAATAGTAGTCAATGGGAAGGATTATCCTATATGTTATGGAAAGTATAAACTGTTCCAAATCACCAACCAGTATATATATATAGATATGGATATACAATGATATATATATATATTGTATAGAATATTTACATATGACTCATATGTTTCATGAACTTCTTCATGTAAAATCTTATGACTTGCTGGCAAACATTTACGTTAAGGAGACACGAGGACATGCGAATATACTTATATTATGCGGACCATACTTGTACACATGTGGCATCTTGTATAATTAGCATTACCCTCTGAGAATCAAAGGTGGGTGGTTGGAAAATCCCCTAACGAAATGGAAGTTTTCACAGGAAACTTGTCAATAAGGGGCTTTCGCATTGCCACGTTTACCGAACGGGCAATCATCAGAGGACAATCCCAATAAATCCCATTAAATATATACCATGATTATCTCATGCTGGATATTCATGGCATTCACCTCTTCAAGGCACGAACTATTTTCATTTTAACTATTTTTTTCATCTTTTTTCCAGGTGCGCACGGATATATATATATATTGTTGTAGTCGAGCTGAAGTAACGTCTTGCTTTGTTGATTTTTGTTGCATGTCTCCCTCTGTTCAAAGTCGTTGTATTTTTGTTATGGTGGATACGTTTCCACATTTCCAATCAGCGATTTTCGTGGACATTTTCAGGTCGAACATGAGGCGAGCACCAAGGCCCTTGTCTTTCCAAGGCGGCTCTTGGGATTGACATGTTGACATTTTGACCCAGAACAAGGAATCTCTGGTCTCAGTTTTGTTCGTTGGCTGACGTTCGCCCATCTAGCTATATTAAAGATATTATAGACATTATAGATGTTTATACAGATATTACAAATATTATAGATATTGCATATGTATATAAATATATATGATATATGTATATCAACCATACAACCAACAGCTAGCCTAGTTTTCAGCCAATTGAAACCCATCACAAAGCATCTTCTGAACCATCTTGTGCACGAATCTTTCTCCTTGTAGAAAGTTGAGATTCTTGAGAACCGGAGGTGGTTTGTTTTTCCTTCTCCTGCGCTCAAAGCCAGTCTTTCAAAGTGTGTGCTGGCCTGGCACTGAGTCTTCTGCCCGTATTCGACCGTGGCAAAGGCCGCGAAGGTGTCCAATGACTTAAACTCCTCAAATGTCTCGTGGATGATGCGCCGACCAGCGGGCTGAAGCTGCGCAGCTACCGCCATTTTGGCATGACACCTCGTGACATCACCACGTGAGGTCGTGACTCGCTACTCACAAACTTGTCGCTAGAAGTACCTCTATATATCTCCCACTGTAAGCTCATGAAACACTTTGTTTGACCTAAACATCCAGACTATATCCCCATTACATCCCCATGAAATCATTGTACCATCACTCCATGATACGACCTTCCTCCCTATATGTGTCATTTATTTTTCGTGGTTGACAAATGATTTTCGACCAAAAAAACATGTCCCTCCCTTTTGACCCCGGACCACGCTAGATCTGGAAGCACTCAAAGGGCTCACATCGGCTCCCCTGGCAGGAGAACATCGACACTAGACGATCTGTCCGTATATTCTGCGATTAAAAGAAGTGCATCCTAGAACATGTGAGACTGGAAGAGTCACTGGTGGTATTTGTTCGTATGATTTTGTATGTTCTGTCTTTTGGATTATTTGGCCTAAACTTGACGGAACTGCAAAACATGCAAAAGAAAACAGGCAACTGCTACAGATTCACATCTGTCTCTATCCCACCCCATTACACTTGTTGGATCTTGTTGGTAGATAACTATCCCGGTATCCCTATTTGGGGTTGTCATAATCCAAAACAAAGCATTTCGTATACGCCATTTATTATCCGTTATATCATTTTGTTTCATGGTTTAAAACCCGTATTCCATGATGGCTAAAATACCATGATGTCATGGTTACAATTCCATTAAACAATACTCAGGTAAAGAATCCCATGATTTTACATATAATCATGGGATTCCATGCGAAAATCCATGAAAAAAATGATGGATAAATCCCCGTTGAAAATACCCAACCAGGTCCGAACAGCCGAACAGCGCCTGTTGGGCACCACCGGTAGCTCCAACTCCAGGTTCGATTTCTTCAGAGCCTTTTTTGGGCGGGAAGACCTTAACAAATAACTGATGGCTGTATCATACATCTGGGAAAATGATACAAAAATGGAAAATTATGTTATTTTTAATCAATGTTCCATTTTTGCATCATTTTTGTAACATATTTTTGATAAATATTTCACGAATCTAAATTGTTGGGCCATAAAAGGGGCTGATTTCCCGAATCCCAACCAGGATTCCAGGGTTCGGGAGAACAGGGTTCGGTCGTTATAATTTACTCAGATACATTATAAACTGGTCATGAAATCCATTTTATGTACCTATAATTATTGTGACCTATTTTTTTGTTTAGATAAACTAATGATAACTAATGAGTAATTTCCTAGATGAACTATGAAAATGAATTATGGATATTATTGATCTATCATAAAAAGATCCATGGTTAGATAAACTATGAAGTAATAATAAATGTTAAGTATCTAAACTGAATACTTGATGTGATAAAACATCGTCTATACTTATTATACATCCGTGAATTGTTAGTAGATGAACTTTATACGTGTGTATATATATATATATATATGTGATATCCCATGAATTGGCAATGACTAGCCATTCATGGATCAAACTGTTTGATGATTAACTTTTTATCATATCCATGCATGGTATAATGGCAATAACGTGACTAACCAAACTGGTATGTGATATTCTGTTGTTTGTAATTGATAGTAAACCATGCATGTCCATCCACTAGTTTGATTCCCCTATCGACTCAGCTGGGCTGTTGACCAGAGACGAAACAAATGTTTGGGTCAGCAAATCTGGAGTTTGATAAGATTCCATAAGAATCCCAAAGTTTAAAGTGAATTTTCAGTTTGAATGATGTGGTATACATCGCTTCATTTGGGAATATCAAAGGTGTTGCAGCCGTCCTTTCTCTCCCCTTTTGTGGCCGGGTCCCCAGCAGTAGGCGACAGTGTCATTGCTTCCTGAGTGTCGAGCAATTTCAGCAATCAGAGTCATTTTTTGTTTTGTGAATAATGTGTATCACCTGTGCACATTGAAAAAATGTATATATTTATAGTTTATATATATATATACACTATATATACACATATTTGTATGTATATAAATATGAACATAAATAATGGAAACAAAGTATATGTTTATATATATATATTAAAAAAACAAAAAGAAAACGCTAAAAAATAGGAGGCCTCGCTTTAGACATCATTTGTTCTGCATGTGTATGCATCCATATATATAACTATAGGCAAATCATGATACTATTATAAACTAATCATCTGAATGCATAATATTCATTTATATTCAAACCGAATTCAGACTTCATACATCACAATATAAGATAATTCTACATAAGAAACATCATTATGCAGATCAAGTTCTATTCAGTTAAAATAGGAAGACATAATCATCATAATAGTTATCATTTTGAGGAAGTCAGAAAAACTACACTATAATTATTCGTAACAATCATTCTCATCAATGTGTTTCATCATAATTTCCCATTATGATTCTACAGCAATACATATTATGATTACCGTGGGGCGAATTTGTATAGCTGTGATGAGCCTAATTAGTGTCATGTTTTCTACATGCAAAATAATCATCATGGTATTTCACATTCATGATTCTGAATCATTAATAAATATATATATAAATATATGTGTGTGTTTTAAGAATAATAATTAATCGCAATAAACATTCTCATTAAACATTACTAAAACACAAAAGTAATAAGCATTGTCATGATTATTCATTCTCGTATTAGCATTATCAATGATAATCGTTACCATGATAATCATTATCATGATAATTCTACGTCACAATTTCCCGTCGAAATTCTACATTGCATCAATATACTAATTGTCCTTAAAATTTTCAGAATCATTGGGGAATATTTTACAAAACCGTCCCCGATAAAAACATATGTGTCATATAAATTCATATAATGTAATCATCCTGGATATCTGCATTAAAAACAATCTATTATAGCCAGTGTCCAATGGTCATCTGTCATCATACGAAATATCACCGATCTAAAACGATTACAACTATCTACATGATCTATGTATATATTATCGTTATCCAATGATCATTTTATCATCATTGTTTATCATAGCTCTAAACACATGTTAAATTGCAAATAGGCAAAAACCATTGTCAGTACTGATCGTAATCATTATCATGATGTAGATAAGTACATTCAAAAGAAGAAACAACATCATAGGTATTATGATTAAATCATCAAGTTTCGACATCATAGTTTCCCACCATAATTCTTATACATATATATATATTGTCACCATGCAGTGTCATCATTTAAGATATATTCTGGTATATTGTCATCAAATACAGTATATATTCTTACATGTGTATATATATATATATGTGTTTTTGTATGATATACACATAATCACCATAATTATCAGCATGTCGTTGTCGTCATCATTGTTTCTACATCTATGATGTAATCTTTTGTAGAACTATCTACATGACCTATGCTGTCTATAAAATATGTCATCAGCATCATACTGTCACCATCATATTGTATAGACAATAGCATAATTGTTATGAATATTGTCTATATACCAAATATTCCATCATAAAATGCAAATCATCACTCTAATTGTCAGCAGTTATTGTCACCATCATTGTGTGTACATCTTTGATGTAATCTTGATGATGTATCATTAAACATGTATTGTCATACTGTCATCATAAACATTAACAAAAAAAATCCAAACTGGAACTCTAGATCTTATGATGGTGATGGTTCAAAAAATCATAAAATACTGGGCCCCTGCATTGACTTCACGCCTGGGCCCCCGCACCGACGGCACCGAGCTGCGCGAGACACGCCCCGACTGCAGCGCTGTTGGCAGCGAGGATGCCCCTGAGGCCTCGGTGCGAGCCATGACGGAACGGTGGCGGTTTCACAACGCGACGGCCATGGCGGTTTCACGACGGCGGGAATGGATTCGGAAAGGTGAGTGGCTAGCGGATGTGAGTGAAAAGCCACTTAAGTGGCTTTAGATATGGAAATTATTCATTAGTATCATTCGGTTTATACATGTTTATAACTACCGGATATGTGCTGATTTAAGTGAGAGAAATGGTGATTGAACTGAACTTAGCAAAATGTGGATCGGGGCAGCAGCTAAACAGTGATTGAATAGGTTAACTTGCAGCTGAATGGTGATGTAAGCCACCAAATTTGAACATGATAATAACAAGTTTCTGCTTTGTTTACAGTTTACTTTACTTTACTAAACCTTTAGGTTTAAGGAATATTTATCATCAGATCTAACTGAGAAGTCTGTTTTACTGGAATGGGTTTTGTTGGAACAAATCTGCAAAAAAAACCTGAACAAAATGGGGGTAGAAACCGTGTCAACTGCAGATTTTCAATCAAACCATTGCATATAATTGTCATGTCCAAAGCATGAACAACATCATTTTGAGATGGTGTTCCACCGAGCATGATTTAAATATACCCAGGCCGTTGTGAGGTCGCTGAGAAATATCTATCGACCCCCTGGGTGTCAGCCATTGCCGTCTTTGGACGATCCTAGAAGTTAGCACCGATACGATTCATGGTGGTCGTGGGTAATGAGATATTATATAATTATATATATTTATATATATTAGAAATAAATGCATGGACGTCCATCAGGTCCATGAACCCTCAAACAAATGTGGCATGATCGGTTTTGACCGATCGCCCATCAATCCTGCCAGGATCATCTCCTTGCAATCTGCACTGAGCTTGGGGACATCTGTTGATTCCTGAGCTTCGAATAAATCAGCTCCATCTTCTCCTCGATATTCCTCAGTTTTTTCTGGCGACCGGGACGATTTTGCGCACAAAATTGACTGCGTCGAGGTGTGTATGTTTTTTTTTTGAACAGCACACATCAGTCAGCAAACAGGTTTGTGCAATACGAACACAAATCACAACAGGTGTAGAATTATATTATGACTCAATAGTGTGTTGGAACATCTTGCACAACTGCTATATCCGCACCTACCTTTGCAAAAGGGGATGGCAAGTGGACACCCATCACACAGCAACTCTTTCACAAGGGGTGGGTAACATTTTTTTTAAAGTGGTTTGGGTCTCAACTCCTCGAGCATGTGCCAAAATTAGGCACCCCACAAATCGACCATGATGTGTCATGCCTAATCTTACGACCTGAAATCTGTGGGGATCAATTGTTCCCAGTTTCCATGCCAAAACAAAACACATCAAAACACCATACGGTTGTGGGTCAAAACATTGGTGCCTTTGCAACTGGAAAGGCCTCATCAAAAAAATATGGTTTCAAGTTTCTTTTTTTCAATATGAAACAGAACCAATGGAAAAACATTTGTTTGTTACATTCCTCTCCTGATTGGACACCTCTCCACCTTTCACAATGATGTTTGCATAATCATGTCTGACCCAACTACTGACATGTCTATAAATGTGTATATAGATATATAATTGGGATAAAATCAAATTAATATATTCAAAAAACAACATTCACGCATATTTATGTATGTGTAAAACACATGTATAGCTAGTTTAAAAAAAAAAAAACATATACATGAGAAATGAATGCCTATATAAATATACAATTATATTATATATACATGAAAATATAAATGAAACAAAAAACACAACATGAATCGCTGGGCAGAAATACCCAGATTTCCCTGCAGTCCTTGGGTCAAAGAAACTGGGCAAATCAGCACGGACACGGTTAATGGTATGGTCCTAACGAAACCTATATACGTATCATAGTCTTGAGTTATACATTCTATTACCTTAGTGGCATGGTTATATGATGTACTAATCATCTTTGAGTACCTGATTAAACTAAAGCGATTGCTCAAATTCAAGCAATTGCTCAACGTCAGTGTTGCCACGGTGGATGTTTGTTCTCCGAATGCCATTTAGGACAAGGTTCCATGCAAGTCCAACAGTTTCAGAATATTTATTTCCAGGTCATCCATCCACCCTTCCCACCCATACCAAACCACAATCGTATAATGTTCATACCTATTATGTTCAAATAATCATTGAGTTAAATCATGCGTCCGTTTATCATAATGTTAGGCTAATTTGAATGACTTGGACAAGATTACATAGAATTTACAGCATTCAAATCAGTTTTAGACATCCAAATGCCTTAAGAGTGGAGTGTCTGCAATGAAGAGTCGCCCTGCACACCAACATAACCGAATATATGTAACTATGAATATACAAGGTCTATGTGTATATACAATCTGTATATAGGATGTTTATATGTATATATTGTCAATGTGTATAAATTACAGCATGTATATAAAGTGTTAAATGTAAACATAATGTCTATGTATGTATTCGATATGTATGTATGTATGTATGTATGTATGTATGTATGTATGTATGTATGTATGTATGTATGTATGTATGTATGTATGTATGTATGTATGTATGTATGTATGTATGTATGTATGTATGTATGTATGTATGTATGTATGTGTATGTGTATATATATATACATAAACATATATCTATGTGTAAATAAACTATGTGTAGATATAAAATTATATATAGTGTGTGTGCACATAGAATGTCTATTCAAGACGTCTGCAGGGTTGTCACTGCGATGTTGTATGTTTTTTTAGTATCTTGAACTACTGATGCGGGAACTTCTTCAGCAAAAATATCATCCGAATACTCCGGCACATGGTGAAGAACAGGCCAGAAACACTTCCATCTGCCTTGCCCAAATGTCAGGAAATTCCATTGTGCTGCTCTGATGTGTTGATCCAAAGCGACCTGTCAGTATGGCGTTTTGGCACTGCTGTTATCTAGGATCTAGTATGTTTTCCTTGAGAGTCCGCCACGCTCGGTCGATCATCTGTGTGTGAGCAAGCTCGGACCTAGTCTGGTTTGCGTCTGTTTCCACGCTTCTGTACCATTCGTGCTCCGACTGATTCACTGCATGGTGACCCAAGATCCAAGAATGGCCGGAGCCTGTGAACAACACAGCGCAGGTCTCCGCGGTGGGTTCAGTTTCTTCCAAAGCGGAGGTAAACTCAGACTTGGTCAGCTATGGTATTCTTGGCTCATCCTTGCTCTCTCTGACCCGTTGACTTTAGCTAATTAGCCACAGGAGGACGAGGAGTACTAGGACAACGACGGCGCTACTACTACTACTACTACTCCTGCTGCTGCTGCTACTACTACTGCTGCTGCTGCTGCTACTAGTGCTACTAGTGCTTCTAGTGCTACTACTGCTACTACTGCTAGTGCTAGTGCTAGTGGTAATGCTAGTGAGTGCTACTGCTTCTACTGCTACCTACTACTACCTACTACTACCTACTACTACCTACTACTTCCTACTACTACCTACTACTACCTACTACTACCTACTACTACTACCCACTACTACTACCTACTACTACCTACTACTACCTACTACTACCTACTACTACCTACTACTACTACTACCCACTACTACTACCTACTACTATGACCTACTACTACTACTACCACTACCACTACTACTACTACTACTACCACTACTACTACTACTACTACTACCACTACCACTACCACGCGACAACTACAACTACCACTACTCTACACTACAACTACAGCTAGAACTAGGACTACAACAGCAACTGCTGCAACTTTAAGTGGTGAAAAGTCATAGGTCAAATCCCAGTTGCGCTCGTCACGCTTTCTGCATCGCTGTGCGCGTCGTCGGCGGCGGCCTGGACAAAGAAAGGGATCCAAACAATAGCAAATCACGTGGTGGATGTAAGATATCTAACTGATTGATATCTAATGTTAATATCAATGCAATATGGCCATATACTCTTTAATAAATATGGGCGCACTCTCACTCTTAAATATCAATATGCTAAAAAACATGATATGTAATAGATACATTCAGATTTATGTGTATATATATAAATACATTAAGAAAGGTGTCACAATGTAAATGATGTACAGGAATATCATGTAATTATACCTAGTAATATTCACAATCGAATGGACCTGATATAAAATATTTAGTTACATGTATCTATATCATTAATGTATGTGTATGTTTAGGCATGTATGTTTATGTATGTATGATGGTGTATGCATGATTATGTATGTATGATTATGTATGTATGATTCATGTTTATATGTATGTATGTATGTATGTATGTATGCATGCATGTATGTATGTATGCATGTATGTATGTATGTTTTTGTATGTTTATGTATGTATGTATTTAGGTATGTATGTATGTATGTATGTATGTGTATGTATGTACGTATGTGTATATGTATATGTATGTATGTTGATGTATGTGTATATGTAAATGTATATGTATGTATGTATGTTGATGTATGTATCTTTATGTATGTAGGTTTATGTATGTATGGTGATTTATGTATGTATGATGTATGTATGTTTATGTATGTATATATTTTATGTATGTTTATGTATGTATAATGAAGTATGTATGATGATGTATGTATGCTTATGTATGTTTATGTTTATGTGTGTATGTATGTATCTAGGTATGTAGGTATGTAGGTATGTAGGTATGTAGGTATGTACGTACATATGTACGTACATATGTACGTACGTATGTGCGTATGTTTATTTATGTATGATTATGAATGTATAATCACGTATGTATGATTATGTATGTATGTATGTTTGCATGGATGTATGTATGTATATGTATGTATATGTATGTATATGTATGTATATGTATGTATATGTATGTATATGTATGTATATGTATGTATATGTATGTATATGTATGTATATATGTGTATATGTATGTATATATTATATGTATGTATATGTATGTATATGTATGTATATGTATATGTATGTATATGTATGTATATGTATGTATATGTATGTAAATGTATGTATATGTATGTATGTTTGTATGCATACATGCATGTGTGTATGCGTGCATGCATGTATCAATCTATAAATCGATCAATCTATCAATCTATCGGGACTTGTGTTAAGAGACCCGTATATAAAACAAGAAACTAGACTCTCAACTCGGTCTCGGAGTTAATTACTCAGAGTCTGGGCATCCCGGAATAAATATTCAGAGTCTCGTTTGGGGCAATATCCTAGTTGTTTGTTTTTTAGCCATGTTTTTTAAATTATGACGAAGCTATCCTATGTATCTAGTTATTCCCATCGAATATTTGAACTAACCATAAATCTACATAGGTCACATAATCAACAACCATATTTCCTGTTTTCAGACCTACACCTAATCCTGAAAATGTTCAGTGCATTGCAGTTTTTAGGAGGTTTCATCGATTTCAGCGTTTCAAGGCCTACCCACGGAAGTCTGGAAAATCAAAGCTACATTTTTTCTAAACTTGCGTGATTTTGATAGTTTTTGCAGAATTTTGCGGCTTTTTGCAGGATTTGTGCGGGTATTTCTTGAAGTTTTTAGGCCTTCTGTCTGTGTGTCCAGATTGCTCATGTCCAGTAAATTCAGTAAACTTCAGTGATTGCATCCATTATCCACCGTTTGCGCCCAAAGCATTGTCAACTCCGAAGTTCATTGATTTTGTTCTGGATTTGGAAGGCCCAGGGAATCTCAAAACCTATCCATGGTGTGTTGATAGTCGTCGGAGTGTCGCTCCCTAATTGGAATTTGATTTAAAAAAAGTAAAAGAAAACACCTGGACCTTTGAAACAGGAAATACTTGAAAAGCGTAGTCAAGGCGATTGTTTGGCTACCCGTTGGTTTCCAAGATTTCACTGCCAAAAAAAAATGGCAATTGCAAGCAGCAGCCAGAACGCCAAGACCACGCACACCAAGAGCGAGCGCAAGATCATCTTGAGAACGCAAAGGTTCCGGAAAACGCATCTGTACTTGCAGCTCAAGGCGGTGAATGATGTTAACCGACCATATTTTTGGCGCTTTGCAAAGCCAAAGGCGGTACCTGTTGCGCCCATATTGGCCGGATCGCTTGGTTGCATGCACTTGCTCGGCTTAGGCGCGGGCCGTCGCAAGTGGGACGGAATGCGAAAACACGTGCCCCTCCGCACACTGCGGCTCAGAGCAGTTTTCTTAGCATAAGTCTTACCCGTATCTATCTGTCTATACCTACCTATCTATGTATGTCTGTCTGTCTGTATGCATGCAAGTGTTCATATATATATATATATATTATATAATTATACATTTATTTATGTATAGGGGGTGTATGGGTGGTGTAACAGAAATGCAATCTTGCTTTGTGTCGGTGATTTTGGAGATCTTTTCACTTGGTTTCGATCATCCCGGTTGGGAAACAGGCTTTCGAACAAGGTCTGCAAAACTGTGGAAGTAAGTCATTTGAGCCGAGAGCATGTAAGCCAGTACAATCACAAATGGGGCATACCACTTGGTGGTTCATTCAATTTTGTAAGTAAGTAAAAAAAGCGTGTGTATGTGTGCATATATATATATAAATATACCATTAATTTTACAAACAAGATATTAGTTCCGATGGACGTTCTGTGTTTCAACATGTCTCTCACGCACCGCCCCACCGATAACGGAACGCCTCAGGCGGAGTCCGTGGGGGTGGTCCTAAAGGCGTCCACGGCGCGAGCAATGGGGTGGCATCAGTAAGAAACAGTTCGGGCGAGGTCATTGGTACGCACAATTCCGGAGGAGTCACCGGTACAGATACACCCCCTGGCAGCCATATGCCAGTCATGTGAGGCAGTGTCTCAGGAGCGGCGTCGCCTCCCGGAACATCTTCCCACTCAGACTCCTCAGGCCTAGGCATGACGTGAATGTGAAGAACCAGGTTTGGAAGCCCTTGTGTACACAACGCTTTTTATTTACTTACACATTGACAGCCACATGATGTGATGCAACATCCTTGTCTAGTCAAGATGCTCTTGTGGAGGCGTCTCTGGAGCATCGTCCCCGCCGTCGACGTCCATCCACACATCTTCGTCAGACCTGGGTGGTCAGATTTTGAAGAATGAGTTTGTTGAGGAAGATCTTGATGACAACATGATTTTGACATCAGACGGTGTTAGTCAGCATTTTTTTGTATTATGTTCCGGAAGACTCTCTGGAAACAGTCCCGTGTCTCATTGAACAGTTTAGACTTTAAACAGTATAACGTGATGTTTTGGGCCCAAGATGCTCCACAATGTTCTTGTCGTGCTCACTGTTCATGGCTGATGGGTCCCACCTAAGAAGAATAAAACTCACAGTGGATAGACGGATGAAGCGAAGTATGTGAAGCATGATTGTCGCTGGGTTGCCGAAAACTCAGGAGCTGGCGCAAGAGAAGCAATTGGCTTGGCCAAGCGCGCCGGTAAATCAAATAGAGAAGCGAAAATGCTGCAAATGACCAAGATGTCACATATACCGGCAAGTATGGACATATGCCATGGAAACGAATAATACAATTTTCCAGAGGTCTTGGAAATCAGAAAGTTGGAAAACCAAAAAAACCTCGAGAAAACAAAAAAAACAAAAAAAAACAATTTTCCAGAGGTCTTGGTGGATAGGGGGGTCCAGCCAAGAGTCCCCAAATATTGTGTTTTTTTTGTTTTCCCGAGGTTTTTTTAAGTTTTTTGGGTTTTCTCCATGGGGCCTCTCCCCCAAAGAGTCCCCAAATATTGTTTTTTTGTTTTGTGTTGTTTTTTGTTTTCTCGAGGTATTTGTTTTTTTTTTTATTTTCTCCATGGGGCCTCCCCCCAAAGAGTTCCCAAATATTGTTTTTTTGTTTTTTTTGTTTTTTTATTTTTTCTCGAGTTTTTTTTTGTTTTTTTTGGTTTTCTCCACGGGGCCTCTCCCCAAAGAGTCCCCATTTGAACCAGACAATGAGGTGAAGCAGATGATGCTAACAAAGATATGAAATATACCTTTGGGGGGGGTTCTGGTGGGGTGTGTGACCATATAGGTAGATAGATACCTACATAAATACGTGAGCCAATGTGAGCCAAAGTGTTGTGGACTCTAGCCTTACCCTCGCTACTTCTAACACTTTTAAGAAGGCTAGCTGCTACGATTCGTATTGCCATCTATAAACCATTATAAATCCATCTAACGCTCACCGTGGAGACTTGCGTATGAAGCCACTCCAAAAAAACATGTCATGATGTCCCTGGTGTCCCTGGTCATCCCACCATCTACAGGGATTCCTCAAAATGCGCATTAGCCGCTTAGCCAGTATGGATTGATGGCCTTCACCGAACCGGGAAAATGACCCATGTAGCTTGACCTGGGAACATGTGATAACAACCAATCAACAAGGGCCAACGAAGAGGTGTTGATGTTTGATGTTTTTTGATGTTTTGTGTTTTTAGTTTTCCCAAAGATATTGACATATTCTATCCGTCTATTTTTTCGCAGACTTCCGGTTACCTTTGAGATAGGTCACCGGTGAAAGTATGCAATAGAAATTCGATGTTGCTTACCGACAAACAACTGAAAAAAACTGTTTGGTATAATCCCGCTATAATTGCTGGTTCAGAGGGTTCCTATCATGGATCATGTCAGAATCCCTTTGTAATATATCATCATTCCCCCAGAATGGTTGTGGAAAATGCATGATAATGCCAGGAATCCCTTTTCTCTCAAGAAGCAAGCAGTGGGTTGGACCATCCGCGAGTTCCCCAATGCCCACCAACCTGATTTGCTCGGAACCTGTTGCTGAAGAATCGGAGAGGAGAAGTTGGGATATGGCGAGTCCAGAAAATGCTGCCGCTTTTCTTTCGAATGGGGCCCTTGAATCTTTCAAGTTTGAAGCTTCAGACATCAGTTTGGGCGCTGGCCTTATGGACGAACTGGTATCCGAAAAATAGGTCCCCTCCAATGATCAAACATGGTAAAGTAACACCACCCCGTTTTTCTTCAAACAACACCCATTGAATCCCATTGATACCCTCTGGTAAACTAACATACAAAAACACACAATGTTTAATGGGAAAATCCGCTATACATGGTCATGCTCAATAGCTATGTTAAATTACCAGAGGGTATCATTTATAGGAGATTTTCCGGGGAGACTCTGTTGCTTCAGCCTCATTCTCTCTTTGGTTCATTTTGCGCATTTTCTGTGACACAAAGACGTGAACAGAACATGTTCACCATTGATGTGTTTCCAAACATGATTATCAGTATAAATAATCATTTACTTTACTTCGTATGATCCCCACCATGACATTTATACAATTTGTTACTGGCAAATCTTCTGGCATTCTATCTGACATATCTTCTGGCATTCTATCTGGCATATCTTCTGGCATTCTATCTGGCATATCTTCTGGCATATTATCTACTCAAATCTTCTGGCATTCTATCTGGCAAACATTCTGGCACTTTATCTGGCATATCTTCTGGCATTCTATCTGACATTTTATCTGGCATTCTATCTGGCATACCTTCTGGCATTCTATCTGGCATATCTTCTAACATTCTATCTGGCATATCTCCTGGCACTCTATCTGGCATATCTTATGGCATTTTATCTACTCGCATTCTATCTGACATTCTATCTGACATTCTATCTGGCATATCTTCTCGCATTCTATCTGGCTTTTGAGGTCCAGCGGTGCGCACTGAGCTCGGAAGGCCCCAGGTTGAGGTCCAGCGGTGCGCACTGAGCTCGGCAGGTCCCAGGTTGAGGTCCAGCGGTGCGCACTGAGCTAGGAAGGCCCCAGGTTGAGGTCCAGCGGTGCGCACTAAGCTGGGAAGGTCCCAGGTTGAGGTCCAGCAGTGCGCACTGAGCTCTGAAGTTGGCGAAGAGCTTGGCCAAGAGTTGGCAAGGCAACAGTGGACGTGGAAGTGGAGGCAGAGGTGGTAGAAGAGGAGGAGGACGCGGTGGAGGAGAAGGAGGAGGAGGAAGGAGGAGGAAGGAGGAGGAGGAGAAGAACAACTCTGATAAAATCTAACAACCCTCACCTGGCAGGTGGGGAATAAATATTATATAATATCATAAATTGGCATGACCAAAAAATATATCATATATCTTAAAGGACCGGATAACCCCACAAATCAACTTCTTCCAAAGATCACAAGCAGATGTGAAAATGAGATGGGAAAGGCAGGAAGGAAAGGAGATGGTGCAAGACAGGTTGGGTGAAAGAGGTGTGTGTGTGTGACAGTGTTGTGTGTGTGTGTAAGTTTGTGCATGCAAAAGTGTTGCGCGTGAAAGAGTTGTATGTGACAAAGTTGTGTAAAAGATTGTGTGTGAAAGAGATGTATGTGACAAAGTTGTGTGTGAAAGAGTTGTGTGTGAAAGAGTTGTGTGTGACAAAGTCGTGTGTGAAAGAGTTGTGTGTGACAAAGTTGTGTGTGAAAGGCTTGTGTGACCAAGTTGTGTGTGAAAGGAATCTGTGACAAAGTTGTGTGGAAGAGTGTTGTCTGCCACCAGAGCCACTCCAGTGCCATAAGCGCCACGCCTACCATGCAAAGTGAAGGTCGATGTCGCCAAGTGACACGCCTGCCACGCAAACAGCCGCGGCGACCAAAGTACCCAAGCGCGCCACCAGAGCCAGTCCAGTGCCACAAGTGCCACGGCTGCCCACAAAGTGCACGTCCATGTCACCAAGTGCCACACCTGCCACGCAAAGTGAAGGTCGATGTCGCCAAGTGCCACACCTGCCACGCAAAGTCAAGGTCGATGTGGCCAAGTGCCACGCCTGCCACGCAAAGTGAAGGTCGATGTCGCCAAGTGCCATGCCTGCCACGCAAAGTGAAGGTCCATGTCACCAAGTGCCACGCCTGCCACGCCAACAACCGCTGCGACCGCGGGAGACCCAAGCGCGCCACCAGAGCCAGTCCAGTGCCATAAGTGCCACGCTTGCCACGCAAAGTGACGGTCGATGTCACCAAGTGCCACGCCTGCCAGGTCGATGTCACCAAGTGCCACCCCTGCCACGCCAACAGCCCCGGCGACCGCGGGAAGCGCGCCACCAGAGCCCATCCAGTGCGATAAGTGCCACGCCTGCCACGCCAACAGCCGCGGCGACCGCGGGAGACCCAAGCGCGCCACCAGAGCCAGTCCAGTGCCATAAGTGCCACACCTGCCACGCAAAGTCAAGGTCGATGTCGCCAAGTGCCATGCCTGCCACGCCAACAGCCGCGGCGACCGCGGGAGACCCAAGCGCGCCACCAAAGCCAGTCCAGTGCCATAAGTGCCACGCCTGCCACGCAAAGTGACGGTCGATGTCGCCAAGTGCCACGCCGGCCGCACAAAGTGAAGGTCAATGTCACCAAGTGCCACGCCTGCCACACCAACAGCCGTGTGTGAGCAATTTGTGTGTGGACAAGTTGTGTGTGAGTGAGTTGTGTGGTGACAAGTTGTGTGTGAGTAAGTTGTGTGTCAGCAAGTTGTGTGGTGACAAAGTTGTGTGGAATGTGGAAGTGGCGGGCGGGCGGCGGGACGAGGAGGCGGGAGGAGGAGGCGGAAGTGCACAACCAAAAACAAGAACCCTTCACAAAGATGTGGGGAATAATATATATAAACATATATACCTCCTTTTGCTATTCAATATAGCCTTGAAAACAGCCCATTTATAGATGATTTATGATTTACGTATAGGAAATGGTGATGTTCAATCTTTGTGCCACAGGATATATATATATATATATATATATATACACAAATGTTATATGTATATATATATACATATGTTTTATGTAAATATATATATATATATGCATATGTTATATGTAAATATATATATGCATATGTTATATGTAAATAAACATATATATATATATATATATGTTTACATATGTTATATGCAAATATATATATATATATATACATATGTTATATGTATATATATATACATACGTTATATGTAAATAATAATAAAAAAATGATAATGATAATAATAAATAAAATAATAATAATAATATATGTTTAAAAATAACAATATATATATATATGTTATATGTAAATATATATATATACATGTTATATATAAATAAGTATATATATATATATATACACACATGGTATATGTAAATAAAGTTAGTTCAACCACGATACAGCCTTACGTGGGAACTAGTCAAGATGCACCCAAGCACAAGGCAGCGCCCTTTTAACAGTGCTTGAGCCAAAATAAGTCGGTAACAACCAAAATGGTTTGTACAAACTGGCAAGTCAAGGAATGTATGGTCGTAAACTGTATAACACCCTTAGGATTCGTGTGATTTCACAACTCCCCCCTCGGGCAACATTCCTGACCTGGATGCAATTCCAAGTTGTAAGCAAGTTGCTATACAACAAATGAAACTACGATTCTGTATCTACGTCAAAGTCTTGGATGCACAATTGATGAAGCATTGAAGGCCACTCGGCTGGAGAAATGACTTTGGTCAAGCCATTTGCAATCTGCTCTGCAGTATGGGTATACCAAATTGAATGCAGAAACCCTTCTGAAAGCACCTCATTTACTGAACTTACGTTCACACGGTGAACTCTGGGTGCATGGCGAAGTTTGGCCGAGTAACCAGAAGTGACGATGTCGACTACTGCTTGGTTGTCTTGACGATAGTTAACTTGGATAGGTCGTTCCAATAGCTGTTGCAGCATGGTTTGTACGTTGATGACTTCCGTGAACATGGCAGACGACATAGCGATCAGCTCGGCCTCCGGCGTGCTACGAGCTACACTTGTCTGTTTTCGACTGCTCCAGTAAATCGGAAGCGACAACTGACCTGTCTTGATCACTATCATGATTCCGGACGTGCTTTTAGCACTGAACGGACAGCTGGCAAAGTCACTGTCTGTAAACACCTCGATTGATGCTTCTTGTTCGTGTGCATGGTCGATTTGTCCTACCAAAACTTTGTCTCGACTGTGGTGAAGATAACAAATGCATCTGTACAGTTGTCTGTCTTCGAATTTCGACCACTGTGTGACGCGTGTTGCCAAACGACCCACAATGAAACTCACATCTGGGCGAGCGAGTCTGGAGAGCCAAAGGATTCTCATCAGAACTCTGGCTGCTGAACCGCTGAGTTGTCCTTGTTGGTTCAACTCTTCATCTGTCATGGAGTTCTCTGGATAACTTGGAGTGCTGACCTTCTTCAAAGCTGCGACTTCTGTTCCAGTAAGCTCACAGTACGTCTTCACAACCTGATCAACATAAGTACGCATGTCGAATGTGATCTTTGAGGTAGATGGACTTCTTTCAATGAAGTGTCTGCGTCCCAAGATCAAGAGTCCTTCTGTGTTGATCTCTTGAAATGGATCCAGTTTCACCTTTGAAGAAAAGGTTCTCCAAAATGACTCATGGCAAGATCGATGTCCACTTAGTGTTAAATCATCCACGTAAACATTGAGAAGCAAAACATATTCATGATCTACATCTCCGCCATGTTTACTAGGATTCCAACGAAACACAAAATTACTTGGATGTTCTTGGAGTTCTATCCCACCTATAGAAACAATGCAAGAGTTGAGGAACTGCTGCCACCACTTTCCGGCCATAGGGTGGCCGTACAGGCTTTTCTGCAACCGAACTGCCAACTTTGCGGATTCACCAAAGCGAGCTTTCCATTCAGGTTTCCAAAGTTCAACTGGCAGGATGACAAGCGTCCAATCGTTCTTGTCCAACCATGTCTGAAGAAATGCCTGAACTGCGTCACTACATGTCACAATGTGATCGGCTAGCAAGCCGTACCAAAGGGCTATTTGTAGTGCGATTATCGCTGTGGGACTTGTTGCTGTTTCTTGGAACAGAATTACATTTCCATCTGTGTCTCTGATTCTGTCGCCTCTATAAACGACACGTCCCTTATATTTCCATTGCGAAGGTCCCAACTCGAAGTGCTTTATTCCGCAAAGGGTTAAAAGGTCCGCGACATGAATCTTGATGTTGGAATTCCGGGCCCAAGTCTTCCAGTTCTGAAGGGTATCGACCGTTTCGTCGTTCCAAGTTTCGTTGGCTCTGAGGCCATCTGCTTCTTTCTGTACAGCTTGGACTCCTCTCTCATCATTCAACCACTGGCTTCGGCTGAGGTTCAAAGTGACAAAGGCTGAACCATGCTGAACTGATGGAACGGAACTGTAAAACTTATTCGGATAAAGGGCCTCGAGAATCTTTGACGCCATTTCTGGTGTGTAGTATGCTGTGTGTGCTGCATTGCCACCCATTGCTGGTTCATGCTGGTGATCACCTGAACACTTATGCTGGTCAAGGATTTGTATGAGTCGCATGTCAGAAGTGCTGACAGCCCACGGCTTCTTTATTAATTCACCCCCCTTTCCACGAAGGTTAAAAGAACAACCGTTAAAGAACACACGTTTCATTGAATGATCTGCTTCAAACTTCATCCATTCTGGGTCTTTCCACAGTTCATTCTCTGCTGGTAATTCAAAGGCTGCACGACCACCGTGACTCAAAACCTTGGCAATGAACTTTTGCGCACTACGCAACAGCTTGATGGATTGTTTTCGATTTTGTTTCAACTTTCGTTTGTATTTTTTCCCCATGAAGGTACTCATTGAGATGTTGCAGTGGGCTATGGTACGTACACACAATGGACACCCAAGTATCTGAACCTGGCAGTGCGTCGACTTGTCCCAACGCTTGGGAAAGGTGCTCTGGGTCAGTCAGATCCAGCACATCCCTACTCAAACGGATACAATCTACATTGATTGATTCTGCAACTTTACCCAACACGGAGTCATTTGAACATGCAAATTCAAACAACACATTTTCCCCTTTTTGATGGTGTAACCTTCGGAATCGATTTCTCATCCTACAAGTTTCAACAAACACATCATCTATTTCAAGGACTTTCACAATGGCCGCACGATCCGGGGCAATTCCAGCACTGAACGGAAGCTCCTCTTCTGGAACACCTGCAAATTCTTCAACAATCTCTGGGGCTGGTGTTTCGGGTGCTGGCGTCACTGGAACTGGAGTGTTTGACCCATCTGCTCTCGATGATGCAATGCGATCTGCCCTGATTAGTCCATTGAATCGCGCACGGCAAATGGGAGTGTGCTTACTATAAGTTGATTCAAACCTACACGCACGACAACCCTCTGTTGCTCCGAAGCGCATGATGCGATCAAGGGTGATGTACTCACTTCTCTTTACTTTTCCTTCGATGGCTACGTCTGAAAAAGGTATGTCAAGAGGCGGAATGTCATCCAATGTTGCTTCACTGAAGTTGGCCAATGCCAGATCCGCTGCACGCTTCAAAGGAAGCAAAGGCTCTTTCTCCTCAACATAGAGTTCCTCAGCAGGCACCGAGATTGCATTAGCATACCCTGCCTCTCTTGTTTTCAACTTACCATAATCCAGGACATAGTACACATCTTTGTGTGACAACGGACCTGCGTCATATCGCCAACCAGCAAACAAACCAGGCTTCGAGGATGGATCAAATTTGCCTCTCTGAGCTGCCGGCACATGGTAGTGCACAAGCTGTCCTAGAAGCAACTTTCTACCAGAAAACTCTTTACCTGTAGCAAGCTGATGTCTTGTTTGGTCTTTTCCGGACGCACATTGAAATGCTGAGAGCATGGTGGCTGCATAGTCAACTGAATGGATCCACAAACCGCCTACAAGATCGAATCCCGCTTGCAAATGACAAGCCCTGGCAATTTCTTGCAGGGTTCTGATGTCCCGTTCAAGGACACTATTGTGTGGAAACCTATTCTCAAGGGTGCCTTCAAAATGGCATCCAAGTTGCTTGCACGCTGCTCTGACTTCAATGGCTTGGTCGGATTTTACCATTATGGAGGGTTGGTCATATGATGGCCCGAGAAACGACAGTATGTTGCCTACCACGGATGAGGTGTCTCGCTTGTTCAAAGGATATGCCCTTATCCATCCCGAAAACTCATCACGTACGACCTGAACCACATGTTCTTTACCTGAACTCAACTTCTGAACGATCACGAAGTCTGTTGCGATCCTTTCTCCAAATTGGGCTACCGCGGGTAACATGCCACGATCTGTGAGTGCATCATGTCTGAACCTGCGAACTTTCTTTCTGTACATTCTCGATCTTTGGCACACTGGGCAATGAGGATTCTTAGGGTAGTGACACAATTTATGCTCTAAGGAATTAGCTTCAGCTACGAGGCGTCTCAACCGATCTACTGGCATCTCCCCTTCAGAATCTGCATCGGATGAACCCCCCTCTTCCCTGACACGTTCTTCTCGAGCTTCTGGAATCACGGCTGGAGCGGAGTGCTCAACATCTTCTCCTGCGGCACCTGGCAATGCGAATGCTGACGACATGTTGAATGTCTCAGTGAAGATGGGAACACTATCCTCTACTCGCTGTGCACAAATGATATCCGAGTTGTGTGTCAATTGAATGGAGTCTGCACTCTTTCCAAAGAAAGGCAATTCACCTGGGCACCAAATGAAGGGATGACCCTGCTCCACAAGTTTACCAAGTGATCGAACCATGGGGCAATCGTCCATAACCTGAAAATGAGCTTTTCCAAAAACGTTTCCAGGAATTTCAACGCAAGAATCACTCACTACCGTGCCATTTCCAGTTTCAAATTTGATTGGATTTACGGATTGAGTTTGTTTCTGAATCACAGCATTCGGAACACCCTGCTCAATCAAAGCACGATGCGATGTGAGATCACGGCCTGCCCCTGAGTCTGCAATCCATTCAAGTGAATACTGATCAGCTGCTTTGGCACTCATTGCAATTCCATGATTATGGTGATGGACAACGGCTGGTGCTGCCGACAGTGTTGCCACGGAGGCAAACCCCTGCGGCGTATGGGCACCAGTGAGCATTGATACACAAGTGGCAACGAACTGCATGAACCTTCCAATCAAGGATTTTCCCATGGAAGATGTTGACCCTTTGGATGCAACGGAACACGCACTCGATGATGCAAGATTTCCAACCGAAGCTATGGTCGCGACAGCAGCTTTGGCGGTTGATGCAGAGGGCTGCGAAGGCGAAGGTTTTGGCTTTGCCGCCGCCTTCTTGGCTGGGTCATGGTAAAATGGACATGCATCACCACGGTTGCATGAACCCTTTCCCCAGAACAGACAATCTACACGTGCTTTGTCTGGCTTCGGATCAGCCTTTGGCTTGGGATTTGACTTTGTCTCCTCTCCTTGACCCGGACCTTTGCCTTTATTCTCCTTCTTACCCTTACCCTTTTCCCCAGAACCTTTCTCCTTTGGATTAGGCTGAGTGGCTTTTGGCTTTGCCTTGGCCTTCGGGTTTGGAAGTCCTTTGGACTCCTCTTGTGTACCTTCCGACTTTGTCGTTGCAGCCGCGGCCTTTGGCTTTGGCTTGTTGTCCTTGTCCTTGTCTTTGAGTCGTTTCTGAAGCGAACTGCGCACTGCCTCTTCATTCTGGTCTTCCTTCATCTCATTGATGCACGTCTTGAGCTTTCCGAAAAGCCAGTCATAGGTACGACAGTGAGAACCGACTCTGGAATCACGGATCTTGTCAATGTGTCTTTGCATCACTCTTACCTTACGCATACGTGAGTATAGCCAAGTGTAACGAGTCATTTCTGATGGCTGCAACTCCGGTGGAATCGAATTCAGCACATACTCTACCCGATCAACAAAGCTACTCAGTCCTTCAGGTGTATATTGAGTGACTTCAAGTTCAAGCAAACTTTGCTGAGTGAGATTGGCACCACGACTTTGATCAAGGAAAAAGCGTCTTGCAATCATGTTCAACAACACTCTTCCCAAAGGAGCCCTCCCTCTCATCTGCTCAGATTCTGTGTAAGCTTGAAATTGTAAGCCCAACTCCCCTTTGAGGTGTTTGGCCTCCATCAAAACACTTGCAAGATGAGCATCCAATCTTGGCATTTCAGCTGACGTCAGAATCAACATTTCTCTCGTTACGTCTGGAGAAAACGCCTGCAGCAACCACTGAAGGATCTGGCTCTGTCCTGTTTTGTCAATGGATGATGCCTTTGTCAGGAAAGCGTTCTTCCATCCACGATATTGAGCTGCATCAACTGGAATGGTTTCTACTTTGATCAAACTCAAATCCTTTGCTTTATAAATCACTGACTCATCAAAGATTACCGCTGACCCTACACCAATTGAAGGATTGATTCGGTCTCCTCTCACTCTCCCAAGTCCGGACGATGCTGGACTGTCATTCGGAGGTGATCCCCTTCCACGATCAGGTGATCCCCCTCCACCTCCATGCCGATCACTGGTCGATGAAGATGACGAGGATGAGTCATCAGGTGGCGGATCGAGTCCCTTTTGGGTTGAACTTCCTGGCAATTCAATTGTTGAAGCATTCCCCAAGTAACTATATGTTGAAAGCGAAAACATCTGTGGTGCAGCATTTGGCTTTTGGGGCTCTTTCGAATGACGCGAATGCATCGAATGTGCTGGACTAGGTTCCTGAGATGGCGGATATCCTGCACAAGCCGATTGAGCCGGCTCTGGTGGCACTGCAACCCTGCTATCAACATGGCTCTCATGTTTCTTCTTACTTGGATGTTTACCCCTCAATACTTTGATTTCATCCTTGAGTGAATTCATCATTTGCACCAACCCTGAAACATCAACCGTGCCATTTTGGTCTTGAATCGGTACATCATACTGGGCCGACGAATGCCTAAGCATGGTGATTTCACTCTGAAGGGATCCCACTTGGTTCATGAGATTTCGCTGTTCGTCCCTTTGTGACTCCAGCGCTTGGGATTGTGATTCAATGATTGCAAGAAGTTCACGATTGCGATCCTCCATTTGCGACAATCGATGTTGCGAATCCTCATATGCTCTTTGAGCAATGTCTTGAATTTGAGCAATTTCCCTTTGATAATTTGTTTCCATGTCACTCACAATGGCTTGGGCTCTGGTCTCAACTGACTGAACCTGAACCTGTGCCTGAGCTTGGACTTCAGAAACGTGGGTTCTTGCCTCTTGGACAATGTTCTGAACAGCCTGATCAGCCAACCTTTGGGTACTAGTCACTTCCGAGCGAGCTTCATGGATGGCCGCATGAGCATGTCTTTCAACTCCCTGGACATGTTGGATAACTGCTACCGGATCCATCCCTACTTGAACTTGCATCGATCTTTGATCATAAGCATGTTGGTGCACATGTTGATGAACTGACCTTTGGTCCTGTGCCTGCACATGCTGATGCCTGTTACGAACAACCGATCTTTGATCATGTTGTCTTACAAGTGTTACGGGTTGACCAGTTGGTGGCAATCCTCCCCCACTACCCTGTCTATCTTCCAAGGCTGTCAATGAACCTGGGCCTCGATGACTGGACAATGGCGATTCTGCACGGCTTCCACTTTGACTCCTGGACGAGACAAGCTGCTGGGAACCCCCTTCATATGGACTATCCCTTGACCTGGAACGGTTCCTTCTAAGTGGCTCAGCATGACTCGGAGTTTGTGAACTAGCACTGGATTCCGATTGAATTGCTGATGCTACTTGTACCTGCAATGCCCTAGATGGAATTCCATCCGGCGAACTGCTAGATATTTGAAGAGATGATTCCGTTGAGTCATTGGCTGAAGGCTCCATTGAACCCAATACTGATGATACTGGCGGCATTGTCAAATGAGAACGCTGGCAAAAATTGCACTCCAAATAACTTGGGGTTCACCAAAATGACAAACACTTTAGAGTTTTTGAGCTTCCGTTTTGGTACCGCTAAGGTTTAGTGTTTTTTTTTTTGAATTTCTTCTTCTTGGTTCGAGGTAAATCCCTGGCCTTTCTTTTTCACCTTCGGCGGAAGGTCCAAGAAACTCACCCCTCAACGTGGCGTTGCACTGGATCGCAACTCTCCACGAGATCAGACTGTGCGTCGGGTAAGGATGAACTCTGCCAGTCGTCTACTGAGGTGATCCGTGTCCAACTGAGCCAGTGCGTCACCAAGATTCTTGAAATATCGAGGTCCTTGGCACTGTGGCTTGCGGGGCACTTTGATCCCTACAGCAGTGATTCCAACCGGATTTCCAACCGGCCAACCACGATACTCCCGATACCGTTCCAGCTCGTCTAACACCTCGTCTGAATCGTCGAAATGCACCACGTGGCAAGAGCCGAAATGCGTGATTGTCTGAAGTGCTGACAGTTTCCCACCTTCACGACCACGACTCTCGGTGGTAATGACGTGGTTAAACAAATCTGGATACTTCCACGACAGGCTCTGGACTTGATCTCGGTACACTGGACTACAGGTGTAAGAGCAAACCAGAACTGCCACACCACGATCTTTCAAACCTCGAATGAGCTGCTCGTACTCAGGTAACAATGTGTATGGAGGCGATGGACGGTCAGTTCCTCGAGAATGACGCTTGATGTCCAAAACTTGATGCCAGTCCAAACTCACAATTACCTGTCCACTGAACTTCACTCTTGGCTCCGATGGTGTGATCACAGTTCCAGCAAAAGCCTGATCCCAAGCCTCCCACACTGGTCGTGGAGTGGTTCTTCCACGGCCTGTTGACCCTGATGACGCCGATGACCCTGATGCCGCTGCTGTTGACGGTCGAAGTACCACAGGATTGGCTTTAGGCACAACTGGTCGATGTACCACAGGATTGGCTTTAGGCACAACTGGTTGATGTGCCACAGGGTTGGCTTTAGGCACAGCTGGTCTAAGTACCACAGGATTGGCTTTGGGCACAGCTGGTCTAATGGCAGGTCTGGCCTTTGATACAGCTCCAAGACTAGCCGATGACGAACGAGCAGTCGAAGCTGGGTCTGCCCAAATACCCGATGGAACGTCTTCCCCTTCCGATTCGGACGAAATCCAAACAGTCTCTGCAAATTCTGAATCGGTCTGAACCTCTTCAAAAAACGGCTGATATGGATGTCGAGGCAGTCTGGGCAGCAAAGGCCTATCCCTCAATGGCAGGATATCACGCTTGCACCGTTGATGCTGCTCCTCAGCCTGTCGAAGGCGCCTGAGAACAATCTGATTCCTCCTGTCACGAGGATCAAACTGGTCGTGGTACACCACGAACTCGAGAAGGCCCATGAAGTACTCAAGCACCTGCAGGCAAATACTCTTGTACCTGCGCTTGAACACTTTTCCGCCTCTCTTTTCTCTGCGAACTTTCTCGAAACGGCTGACAAGTTGCGCACCCTTTCTAGGAGTGCGATCCCTTTGCATCAACGGGCACCGAGCACTAGTCAATGGCGATATGGAACAGGTGCGGTCAAATGAGTTGAACTCTTTGAGCCTGATATGCACAAATGAAGCACTTGTTCCACCTTTCTTGGACGTTATGGATTTTCTCCTCTTTATGCTTGGGACTACACTCAAAGATTCCTAAGGAAAGTCCGAGGAGCACTGGTTGTCTAACCTACCAAGCAAACTAGTATGGGATTGGTCTAATTTGGTCCGGTGTTGCAGTGGATCGCAAACACCCCGGAATATATCACTCACTTGAACGTGCGAACACACAATTACAAGGAGCTACCTCTATTGAAGTTAGGGTTATGGAATTCGGATCCTATCCAATGGCAGTGTTGCACTGGATCGCAACTCCCTGCCCAGCACCAAGCAATCCTTCGCAGAGAAGCTTAGGCTTTTCTTCACTTGGCGAGACCTGGACCGGTCTGATTAACACGTCTGTGGGACGAACAATCCTAGACCCTTTGCAACTCGATTGTGGGTCTATTAGGAAAGTTAGTGCCACAGGCGGCGGGGGTGTGGCAACCAAAGGGGCTCAAGCTTTGGGGACCACAAGTTTATGGAATTAGCTTATGTGAAGCTGAGGCTGTTAACCAATTAGTTCAACCACGATACAGCCTTACGTGGGAACTAGTCAAGATGCACCCAAGCACAAGGCAGCGCCCTTTTAACAGTGCTTGAGCCAAAATAGGTCGGTAACAACCAAAATGGTTTGTACAAACTGGCAAGTCAAGGAATGTATGGTCGTAAACTGTATAACACCCTTAGGATTCGTGTGATTTCACAACTAATAAATCAATAAATAAATATATATATATACACATATGTTATATGTAAATCAATAAACATATATGTATATATATATATATATGTTATGTGTATGTATATATATATATACATACAATATCTATATGTGTTTGCTTCCATTCTGGTTCGGTGTTATGGGGCCCGTTTCTGTACTCCTTCCCCAAGCCACGGAGATCCTGATTGGATGATCATCGGATCGCTGAGGATCCGGTCCATGGAGCAGCTTCCATGTAAAACTTTTTGCTCCTGGACCTGAACTGCAAAGAAAATAGGAATCAAGTGGAATCACGTGTTTTTTTTGTGGAATATATATATATATATATAAACATTTCTGCTGTTTACATATCTACTTAATCTACAAACTTTCGCTAATAGCAAGTTTTAGTTCAGAGAGACTTTTCTTGTTCCTCTCCCCCTTCTCAGGTTTGCTTTTTATTTAACCAAGATGTCAAATGTCACCAACAAGAGTATACAACAGTCAGAATAGCACCAGCGCCAGGAGGTATATCAGTACCCATAGGATCCATGTATGCTATATATGGTAACATTTACCATCAATATACCCCCAATGTTAGCATATATACCAGCACCATGGATCCTATGGGGTATACTATATCACCATCATGTTGTGATGTTCAATCCCTTCGCTTTTTTGGATCTTGTCAAGTCGGAAAACGACTGGAAAACTTTGGGCCCCCTTGGATCTACAAGCTGGGGCCCTGTTTGTTGTGTTTGTTGGTTTATAAGACAAGATTATACTTGTAGTTATATCTACCTTAAACCATAGTTGACCTCCTTATGAACCAACCTAACTATATACAATGTGGTGCCCCCTAGTTATAAATTTGTTTATAAACCCCATTAACTATAGTTATATCTGCCATAAACCATAGTTATGGGAGTTATAAACCAACTTAACTATCTAGGGGGCACCACTTTGTAGGGGGGGCCACATTGTAAAAATGTAAGGATCTGTAAAACAAAGCTGGAACACTGTTAAGTCACTTTGCCAAGGGTTGTAAAATCTTGTACATGAGCCATCGCAGGACATGTAGTCATACAGTGTCACAATGAATCCAGCCGCTGCCAGGTTGTAATTTCCAACACTGGTGCCTTGTACTCCGCATGTCCTCTGTTGAATCAAGGTAGGTTAGATCAGGCTGCACCCATAATTCTGTTGGGTCAAAGGCTATTTTAATTACTTTGATTTGCCCAAGGGGGCTCCAAGAAAAATAAACAACATTCCCCATAGTTTCAGCATATTTCGTGGACTTCGCATCGGGAAAGCAAAGCAAATGACCGACCAAACAAACCCAGGTTTGGCAGCTAATTCAACCCACAAACTCCGTGCAGCCACCACCCATAGCCCCAAGTTACGTATGATAGGACCGGACCAGGTGGCAGAAGTACACCCCGGTCTCTTGGTCTTGGTGACATTTGAGTTCTATCCGTACTTCGACTTATCCCTCTCAAAAATGCTGTGGACAAAACAGAAAAAAAACACACATTCATTGTGATGAGTGGATTCTGTGATTGTTTTCTGGTGCCTGAAAGGCTACAGTATACACACGTGCAACCCAAAACAACCCATTATACCTTGCTGTGTTTTCTTCGCACGGTCATGTCTACCCATCACAACTGGTTTCACGCTCACCTCAAAGAGACCTTCCGTGGCGAGGCTTGCCTCGGAGGCTGGGGTGGCCAGTGGTGGACTATTCTGAGTTTATCCCTTTCAATGGGACTTAATGGATCTTAATGGTATGGGATTTAATGGGATTTAATGAGGATTATTGTGATTTAATGGGATTTAATGACTTAACGAACTTGGATTTATTGTGACTTAATGGGATTTAACGAGGTTTACCCTCTCGTTAACATAGCTATGGTATAAATGGCCCATTTATAGATGATAAAAATGATGACTTACCGTGACTTACCTATTAAGAATCACCAAAGGGTAGACGTAATATGACGTAACTACTTTCTGCTCATCCAACTGGAGTGATATAGCCAAGATCATTTCATGCGTAAGCTTAGCTGTATCTATGACTCAACATGTTCCATCGTTCAGGGGCCCACAGATTGGTGAAGCGGCCAGGAGCTGATGCAGCAACCATCGAGATGTTTAAGGCATGTCTGAGCTTTTCTTCTACCTTCCAGGATTTTTTTGATTCTTTGCCAACTCTGAAACGAGCTCAAGTTGGGGGTTAGCTTCCACAAGACCCACCCGTTTATGGTGAGGTCTCTGGGGGGTCTTGAAATGCATCCCACTCAGTGAATGGTAAATAACCCAGACATTGCTGTGGTAGCTCCACAAGTGCCTGATTTCACTCGTTTGACATGTGTTTCCCACTTTGCGACTGGGATGACCATGGATCCAAAAATTTTAAAAGAGGGTTCCGGAAGTGGTGTGCCATCAAAGTTTTCCTTCCGGTCATCACGGTGATGTCACATCTTTTTATTGCCATAACTTGGGGATCAGTTCCCCCAATTCCAGGTACCACACCCAGGTTGGATGTTTACAGATCCTCCACTCACCAACCACATGTATATAACTATACAGTATAATTTCTCACAACTATTGTACGAACTACAAGGTGGTGCCCCCACAGTTATAACATTATAACGCCCTAAACTATACATTATATATATATATACCCAACTAACTTCGCCAACTTCGTCTTCGCTATCCCACGAATGGACATAAAATGGTTGAACGTTTTATTAGCTGCGCCCTGGATCACCAACAAACTCCTGGTCCCCGCACGGCAGCGACACTTCAGGCGTGACCTTCCTGCAGGATTCAACCCACAGAAGTGAGGCATTTACCCTATGGCAAACCCTTACCCCTATACCATATGCTGGTGCTGGAATATGCTGGAAGATTTTCCAACAGAAAACCCGCACAAAATTCACCAAGTCATGTAGGTAAATATACCAGCACCATGGTTCGCATATGGGCTAGTATGAAACACCCCTCCACAATCCTCCACAGATGTACAGTAGGGGATGAAACCACATTTTTTTGGTGCAATGCTCAATAGCTAAATCATGCTAAATCATCTATAACGGACCATGTTCAAGTTTTTAGCTTATGTTCAATTGCAGGGTATGAACCTAAGATTGAGGTTTTACCAGAGAAATTGATGAATTAGTATAATTTAACTAGAATGTAATCAACAGAATGGAATGCATTGACCTAGTCAAGATGAAGAAGTGGTCGCCTGGGGGAATTGCTGGAATTCCTAGCCAACTCCACGACCTATATATATAATATAATATGTGTATCATAAATATCATTGATCCTGATGTATAGGTCTTTAATGGTCTTTACCAAAGTATACTAAGGTCATAAAGTTGTAACTATCACGTGGTGAGTTTCAAAGTCGTAGCTCCAACTGGCTGGTTTCAAACTGCTGCAGCGTCCTGGTGGAGCCGCTTGGGGGCCGGGCGTCATGCCCGTCATGCCCGGAGCCGCTTGGGTTCATCCTGGCGGCATCAAGGGACAGGGGTCCAATGGGATACTACCAACAATGTGATACAAAACTATGACTGGTTGGTGGTTTTTCGCCTACCCCTCTGAAAAATGATGGAGTTCGTCAATGGGAAAGATGACATCCCATATATGAAATGGAAAAAAAGAAATGTTGCGAACAACCAACCAGATATGAGTTTTGTATAGTTTTGTCACAAATGAGTTGAATACCGAGAGTTACTCACATGTTTTATTGACTTTTTTGTGTCTCTAAACCACTTGATTTCTACGGTTGTCCCCAAATTTGGAGCATGAGAAACTCATGTCTTGGAGTATGAGAACATGCAGATTCAACCAGGAACAGCAATGGCAGCAATGGTTTAAATTTGATTCTCCTAGGCCCGGGCTTTTCCGAAGTCAACCAACAGGATGTCATCCCCTGACGATCCAGGAACCGAGCCTAACGAGCCTTTTTTGATCCCATAAATCTGCAAGGTGATACACCAGGTGGTTTGCCAAGTTGGTTTTCAAACAAGTAGATTTTGGGCTAGCTATAGTTAGAGGAGTCATAGATGAGTTTACTCATAGTTTATCAACGAACTTATCCGAGAGGGGAGCCACATTGTAAACGCCCGGATTTCTCTCGCCTTCACAAATCCGCACTTCAAAGGACATTGGCGCTGGGGTGCTGTGTACGTGTGGGCGAGATGCGGCAACAAAATCAAGAAGAAGTGCAGAAAAAAATCCTATCTATTAATGAGATAAATGATGACTGCAGTCACATTTGTTTTTCTGGGCGGATCCAAAGCAAATTTCAGTGACAGTCATCGGACGCAAAGCATGGGGTCTCAGTCTGTTTCATGTCTGACCCCTTGACTTTCGGCGAAGATTTCCTTGGCAATGTGACCTCTGTTGGGGTTGCCCAAACGCCAAAAGTACTGGTATCGATGTGAAAGTCAATGGGCATCATATCGGTCCAAACTACGATGGAACATCGCGCAACTGCAAACAAATGCAAAGAACCATTTGTTTTCACCGCAACATTCAATCCACAAACACCACTGCTACGAGCACCAAGGGCCGGCGGTTTTGCTGGATTTTTTTCTCAGTTCCCAGAGCTAGCTGGTAGAAGTGCAAAATGCGTATGGGTCATTATTTTGGCTAGCTAGACATGGTATCGTTGAGATTACAAATGACACCACATGATTTGTTTTGGGTATTTTGTTTTTGACAATGTGAAATTCCAATGCGTTTTATCCTTCGGTGTCACCAAACATGGTTTGCATAAAAATCCACTAGACAATTTTCCATTGAAACCGCTGTTTATAGTTTATAATGGATTTTCTATCGCCACATTTGATTACTGGACGTTATATCTCTATTTTGTTGGAGAACCCAAACGTTGCGCAGGTTTTTTTTGTTACAAAAACAACAAACAAAGGACCTACGGCCATTGGTGAACTGATTCGTATGTGAGGAACATCCATGATACACCGTGAAAAAATAAAAATAATCAAAACAATTTACTCACCATAAGTTGGGAGGAAATTGCAGACATCATCAGAAATTTGTTTTCTTGGTGGTTTACGATGTGATAAACCCCAAATGTGATTGAAGGCCACCAATCTCCCCTTCGCCGGCCATCCCCTCGCAATAGATGGCTGGTTTGGCTGTTGCAAGGCAACTTATGATCGATATGTTTACATATATATAAATATATCTATTTATTTAAGTATATTACAATAATCATCGTGATTATTATTGCTAATCATCATCATCATCATCATCAGCAGCACCACCATCATTCCATCATCATCATCATCATCACCATCATCATCATCACCAATCCTTTGGGTACCATCATTGTGTGATAAGCAATTCTCGTTGTGACATTGCATAGAGCAACCATTTGGCGCACTGCATGACCTTTGGCAGAAAATTCTCCGCTGACCAACCTGACGCACGTTTTTTTTTAATCCTAAAACATCGGAAAACATGAACGTGTCAATGGGTGTCAATGGTTATCTATATAATAACGTAGCTATGGAAACCATGGCCGATAGAAATATATGTATCATAAAATGATTATATATACAGAACTAACAGATCGTGATTTTCCAGCTATTGAACCAGAGGGTAACCATAAAACAAAACGTATATGAACATGAGGATTTAACATGATTTAACCAAGAAACATTGTGATGTGTACTTATTTTATATGTTAGCATATGTTAGCTATATGTTAGCTAAGTTGGCTTGTATTACATATTTCGCGAATATCTAATCACAATATATTGTGATTTAGAGAAAGCGACTTGGTGGTTTGGACACTTCTCCATTACATCCAACCAGGAGCGGGGATTACGTGGCATGTCACGATCAATCACTTGTGTGACATCCATTATGCCGGCTGCATGGTTTAACGGGTTCCCAACATGGTTCAAAGAAATTTTCTATATAACTAGCTACAAAGTAGTGCCCCCACTCATTAGCTAAGTGGCCCCACTCTACAACTGAGGTATCGGTATCTATTAATACTTATTCATAAGGGTTGTTTTTACGAGTAAATAATTCTTCTTTGCGGGCGGTGGCCGTTGCCGGTGGGCAGTGGGCCTGGGCCGGTGGGCCAGTGTGGGCCGGGGGTGGGCCCGTGGGCCGGTGAGACGGTGGGCCGCTGGTGGTGGCCGGTGGGCCCGGGTCAGTGGGGCCCAGTGGGCCGCGGATCGCCGTCTGGTGTGAGGCGCGGTTACGGATGGTCATGAATTCGCCATCATGTCAACCATATCATCATGTCAACCCAATCACCAAGCAGTTGGGGAGTGAAAGAGTCCGGAAGCATGTGAATTCGCAAGTGCAAATATTCAATCATTCATGTCACTTGTCTATTTCATTTCATTCATTCACTCATTCATTCAGCCGTGCATGTCATTTCATTCATTCAACCATTCATGCAGTCACTCAATCATTTCATGTCATGTCATGTAATGTAATTTATTTTCATTTCATTTCATTTCGTTTCATTTCGTTTCATTTCATTTCATTTCATTTCATTTATTCAATCATTCATTCATTCATTTCGTTTCATGTCAACTCAGTTTGGTTCAGTTCAGTTCATTTTGTTTCGTTTCATTTCATTTCATTCATTTATTTCTTTGTTCATTCATTCATGTATTTGCTCCATATTTCAGCTCCATTTCATTTCACTTCATGCCATGTCATTTGATGTAATTTCGATTTGTCATTTCATGTCATGTCTTTTCATTACATTCGTTCACGGTTTCATTTTTCATGATTTCTTTGCTTCTGGGGTTTTGCATTCACTGACTCATTGGCAACTCATTGCTTCATTGCTTCATTGATTTATTGGTTCAGTGGTTCTTGTTTTCGTTGAAACACTGTGATTCAATGGTTCATTTTTCCTTGAATCCTTGATTCATGTTTTTTTTGCTGAACCATGGATTCAATGTTTCATGCATTCATGGATTGATTGGCGCACTTTTCGTGGATTGATTGCTTCACTGATGCACAGAGTCATGTGGCTTTTCATTGGTTGACTGATTGATTTCGAGGGGTTCATTGATTCATTGGTTGATTGTTTCATTGAGTCGGTCATTCATGTGCTGATATATGCATCCTTCCATTGACTCAATCATTCACCAATTCTTTGATTCATTCATCCCTTCCTTCATTCATTTCCTTCATTCATTCATTCCTCCCCTCCTTCATTCATTTCTTCCTTAAGTTCATCTCATTCAGGCGTGCATGATTTGCGGTATGTCAGCTCATTGGCATCTCAACAAACATTATTCGCTCATTCGGTGATACACTTCACGACTTCAACATGTCAGAACATTGCTTCTGCATCTCAAAAGCTTTCTATAGACCATTGATGTCCATAGTAAAGAAAGCTAGCAACCAACCCGTACACTGAGATGCCACTGCTTAACACAGGCAAACTTGACTTCGAGCAAGTAATTATAGAAGAATTGAAGCTATTAAGTTACGTGAGGCCGTGACGGTTTAAACTTGAAGGAGCAGAAGTAAAAACTAAAACGGTGAAGCCTATTTGGAAATAAGGCTTTAGCACTGAGTCATGACAGTTGTTCTGGGATTCCGTTACATATGCGCGACAGAAAAACAGGCACAGCAACTACGAGAAGCGGCGGCCGTTTTCCACCAATCATCTCAATGCTTGTGCTGAATGGTCGCGGTGCTGGCGACAGAGGATGTCTTGGGGCACGTCGCCTGTCAGCGGGACGGGATGGAAGCATGATGGTTTAGCCTAGTTCCACACATGACCAACCATGTGTTGTGGGTCCATTGGTCCGCTGGTATTACCCCAGCCTCTCGGGTGATGTCAACAGTGAGGCTTTGAACGTTCGCAGCCTGGCTGATGGTGGCTCCCTTGCCATGACATGGGTTAGGTCATGCTAGGTCATATAATTCCCCAGCCAGTGAAGATTTCGCTTTGGCAGCCCATTTTGTGACCATGTTGATCTTAAACATGGCGTGACAAAAGAGATACCTCGACCAAACACTGGGGACGCACCTTGCGGGAGTGGCACGGCTTCTGAGATAGACGTCCGTGAACTTCAGAAGCTGTTCATGCGCTGAATCTCCATCCGGTAAGAAAGGAGCTGCAGCGTCAAGGGCATGAACAGCCTGATGCTCCTCCTGTTCCACATCTGGCACTGTAGGCTGCACTTGCTCTGTGCGCGGGGGCGGCTGAGTACTCATGGAAGGCGCAAATGCGTTCTGGGCATTGGCCATCGCAGGGCCCACTGGCATGGCATGTGCAAAGCCGGGAAGCTCCTGAAAAGGTTGCTTGAAAGGACATATAAAGCAAGCGTGTTTTGCAGAAAGTAAGGCTACGTTTCAACCCCGTGCCTCCGGCAGCAGGACTTTCACGTCTCCACGCCATATCTCCCGGATGTTCAGGTTGATCTCGAGCAGGCGGCAAGCAAGACGGACGTGGGGCTCGGCAACAGACAGATTCAGCACTGGTTCGGTTCGGTCGTAGAACACAAGTCCAAGACAGGGAGCACGGCCGCCAAAACACCCTGCTGCCAGGCGGCATTAGCGTGGAGAGCGGCAAGAGATGTATTTGTCAGTTTGATTTTGGGCCCCTGATGTTGGAGGAACCACAGAGTCCCCGGCCTTAACTAGTTGTTTTCCAAGTGTTGCACCGCTTGCACGTCCCGCCGGTGGGCGTGCCGCTGGTGGGAGGCAGCCCTCCAGCGGGTGGCCTTCACCTTGGCCCTGCGCAGAACCCCCTTCAGGTAGGTCAGGCGGTGGTTCTCCCGCCGCTCCCCCGCGATTTTCGGTCGATTTGCCGGAGGGCGTCAGGGGGTCTAGAATTATATAGACAGATATAGCTAGATTATCGGCTTCATGCCCGAGGCCCTGACTGATTGTGCTACCTGATTGCCTCAGTAACGATGAAAACAATGTGCGTGGAGGAAATCAAGCACATTCTAATTAAGAAGACATCCGCTTCACAGGAAAGCCCAACCTGCACCTGACACTCGAAATGTATATCGACATTTCACAAGAGCCACTTTATACGGAAATTTAGAGGTAAAATGCCGCGCGCCAGAATGAGCCCAGAATGCGGACACCCACTTTGTGCGAGCCTGCGCAATCGAAATGCAGGTCAGCCGGAAATTGACAGGAAAAATGCCTGCGCCCAGCTGGAGCACCCTGATCAAGCACCGGCCTTTACTCCGACCGAAAGA